CTATAAATGAAACCCCGTCATTAAAACTACTCACTTCAATCTTTAAATAACTTAAATTGACCTTTTGACAACAATGCACAATTCTCAACCGCGAATCCAAATTTCAAACAATCAGAGCTGGGCTCTCTGTGACCATATGAGGAATAGATATGAGGGCCGATGCAGAATTCATCTACATTTCAGGGGGTAAATTATCTTGTTTACAGGTTTGTACAAACCTGAAATCGTGACAACTGTTGTGGAAAATGAAAGCTATATGTTCTCACAATCTACTGTCATATAATTTTGTCTCCTGCTTTGCCTAGTTTCCAAGTTACAACTTGTTTTCATAGACGATTCTGTCAAAATCGCTTGGTGTTGTTAGGCCTTATTTGTATAATGACTGATCCAAATTGATCCCATTTCTGTGTTTTTTTACCTAGATATTTAATCATGTCATGTAAAAATATGACGTCTATTACGTATGATATTAAAAATTGACATTTGATTTATTTGAATCGGTAAACTAAACAACCCTATTTTGCCATTGCTAGAAGAATCTGAAATTTTACTTAGGTAAATAGGTACATACAGTTTTAGCACATAGCAAATGCTTATATGTATTTCTTATGCAACAATGAAGTTCTGTTTGTATTCTCAAAACAGTGTCGGCCCATAAGTTTTCACATGCAATTAAAATTGCATGCAATACAGCAATTAATTCTCCCTCGTTGTAACCCGTGTTAGGTGGTATAAATCTACACGTTATTTGTCATCATTCACTTGATGGTCAGTTAACAAATTTATAATAGGTATAATTAGTGGTAACACCACTTAGATTACCCGACAAAGGTTCCCATTTGGCATTTCTTGTGTCTGGAGTAAATATTCAACATTATAAACATCGATCAAAGGATTAACCGATAACACGCTGATTGATTAATTACTTTTATCTTACACAGCAGATTTGTCAAAAGGTAGTGTTTATGTTTGTAGATTTACTAATCTGTACTGAATACACTCTGTCGCGGTCTGTGTCTGGCGAAAAACAACGCCCTTCCTTCAAAGGATTAACCGCCAATACAGTGATTGATTGCTCATTATTGGCTAACTAAATTACCGTTTTTAAAGAATGGCGGACATTATGCAATCAGTTGCCAGGTGTGCTATCTTGGGTGACCAATGAGACTATGCACCAATGTGACATGCCTGAAACGATGTCACTTTTCGTATACTACACTGTTAAAAGACACATTACTTTGAACAGCTGCAGATGAATGGCATATCACTCGTTTTTGTGGATATTGATGGATACATTCCTCGAACAAGGTAATAGCCTGACATTGTTCCTATAAATTTAATCTGTTTTAATTTTAATATTTGCATTTTGTTTTATTCATTTGTTGTAGCATTCAACAGAATCGTTGTTTTCGCCGTGAAGTGTAATGAGACATACACTAGGGCGTGTGTGCGAATTATCATTCACATTGGCAAACTATAAAATGTCTAGATATTACAGTCCTGTTATAAATGCACTATAAGTATCAGCAGATCGTCTGCTTTTTATTTAGTTTCAAAATGCATACAAGTATGATAATAAACTAATTAGGATTATAAGACCAAATATAAAGACGTACATTGACTAGTATCTACATACTGGTGAGTGCACGTTAACCACGTGAATGTAGCAAGAAATTTATCGCACAGTATTGTCATTTCAACCCCCCACCTCGCTTCCGTGGAAGAAATCGTTATGTTATAAGTTGTGTCATGCAAAATGCTTTTGGTTATGATTCAAATACATATTTAACTACGAGTAGAAAGTAGTTTTGATTTTCTAACTTGATGAAAACAAACCATAATCTCATTAATATTCTAACAGACTTTAGCCCGTGACTTCACGATTTTCAAAAATGGCGGCGCCCTGTCGCGAACATCCGCCAGTCTGAGTATAAATGCTATTTAGGTTTGTTTCACCGAGTTACAAAATCAAAACTACTTTCTACTGATAGTAAAATATGTATTTGATTGATGGCCAATAGGATTTTGCATGACATAGCATATAACATAACAATTTCTCTCGTGGAAGCGAGGTGGGTGTCAATATAATACTACTTACAGTATCACTGTTACTTTGACCACAACCTCGCTTCTGAGGAAGAAATCATTATGTTACAAGTTGTGTCATGGAAAATCTTTATGGTCATCAATCATATACATATTTTACTACGACTAGTAAGTAGTTTTGATTCTTTAACTTCTGTGAAGCGATCTGAACACAAGTAAGATATCGTTTCAGGCTTCCACAACGCCAAGCCGCACTCACAAACATAACCCATTTTGCACGAACTGCGGGTCCTGTGGAAATCTGTGCATGGCGACACCATCGCCCGACCTCTAGGAGCAACTGACGACAACGCAAAACGATTTGGCATCTCTTCGTTGATGTCGAGAAATCATCAAAATGACGAGCTTGCTACACACTTTATATACAACTAACTGAAAATCCTTCCTCATATGACGTCACTGCAGTGCTCTGGCGACAGAGTTACGTAACATGTCTGTGGTTTCGTTGGCGGGCGAGAGTGAAGCAGGCGACTTTTAGGCAACTTTTATTCGCTCGGTACTAATTAACCACAAGTTTTTAAAGAATGAATTTGGTGTTCTGCATAAGACTGACCACAAATCTTTCATATGTAATAGTTAAAAGAGTAAAAAAAACAAAGTTTATTTGTTCTTTAAGTGTTTAGTATTTTAGACATAGTATTTGGTTGCTGAGATCTAGTTTGGACATGGACAAGAGATGTGTCTACACCAATAAAACCAGTGCCTGAAAGCATGAACAACAATCACTATCATCAGAGTAATAGGAAAAACAAGCAGCCAAGTCAAACAACATAAGCACTGGATCGCCATTTTGCAATTCCTAGTTGACTCCCATGGCTAGCATGAGATTCCAGAATCACTCAACTAGCAGCCATAGCCACTTCAGAATGTTTGAGAAATAGTGAGTGAAGTATTTAAGTTTCTAAACTGTCAATCTTTCAAAATTTATCATATCACTTCCTGCTTTCAAATACTGAACACAGACTAATCTTCATGCACTTCGTATATGTGACTGAATCAATAACCATTGATAACGTAGCCATCAAAATCAACCTATTCAATGTTATAAACACAAACAATTGTGATCTTACCTTATCATGCAGTTTAACTTATGTTTCACAAATTAGAAGAATATATTCATACCTTGTAATTGGCTACATATCCAGTAGATCCATAACTCATTCTGTAATAGTGTACTCAACATCAAGATGGTACTTAGAACAGTTTGAATACTTTGATACACAATCATGTGATTGTGAACAAAAGTGTATTCAGTGGCTCACATGACCTCACATAAAAGGAATAATAATTTGATGTTTCAATTTTTTATGGTAATAAACGATTAACTAACCGGAGAGGACATGTTGACATACATGTTATTCAAACATGCAACTCATGTTGAAAGGAGGCCCATTCAGTGTGGGTCAAATTCCATTAAGTAGATAGCTGTGCATTCAATGTCTCACTCGCCTGATATGACGAGGAAAGTGGACCTCCGTTCTGTTCGGGGTATTGTTTGCAGCTATATTTGGAAACTTGCTAAGCGGACCCTAGCTGCGCCAATGGCCTGCTTTGTTGTCAAATAGTGAACCACGCCGATTTAAATGTTCTGAACACCTTAAGAACAAAATGCAACATAAGATACGTACCGTATTAAGAGACATCACTGACATGGTCCTAATCTTCCTGTTGTGTCAGCTGTCTAAACATAGTATGCAAATGATCAGTAAATTCTGTCACACGGTACTTCCGCCATTTTGTCCATGTTCATTCTTTTACCGACTAGTGATTCCAGAATCACTCAACTAGCAGCCATAGCCACTTCAGAATGTTTGAGAAATAGTGAGTGAAGTATTTAAGTTTCTAAACTGTCAATCTTTCAAAATTTATCATATCACTTCCTGCTTTCAAATACTGAACACAGACTAATCTTCATGCACTTCGTATATGTGACTGAATCAATAACCATTGATAACGTAGCCATCAAAATCAACCTATTCAATGTTATAAACACAAACAATTGTGATCTTACCTTATCATGCAGTTTAACTTATGTTTCACAAATTAGAAGAATATATTCATACCTTGTAATTGGCTACATATCCAGTAGATCCATAGCTCATTCTGTAATAGTGTACTCCAACATCAAGATGGTACTTAGAACAGTTTGAATACTTTGATACACAATCATGTGATTGTGAACAAAAGTGTATTCAGTGGCTCACATGACCTCACATAAAAGGAATTTCAATTTTTTATGGTAATAAACGATTAACTAACCGGAGAGGACATGTTGACATACATGTTATTCAAACATGCAACTCATGTTGAAAGGAGGCCCATTCAGTGTGGGTCAAATTCCATTAAGTAGATAGCTGTGCATTCAATGTCTCACTCGCCTGATATGACGAGGAAAGTGGACCTCCGTTCTGTTCGGGGTATTGTTTGCAGCTATATTTGGAAACTTGCTAAGCGGACCCTAGCTGCGCCAATGGCCTGCTTTGTTGTCAAATAGTGAACCACGCCGATTTAAATGTTCTGAACACCTTTAAGAACAAAATGCAACATAAGATACGTACCGTATTAAGAGACATCACTGACATGGTCCTAATCTTCCTGTTGTGTCAGCTGTCTAAACATAGTATGCAAATGATCAGTAAATTCTGTCACACGGTACTTCCGCCATTTTGTCCATGTTCATTCTTTTACCGACTAGTGATTTGGTAAGTGGTTTAATAGACACAAATTGAGTAATGCAGCGTGTCAAACACCGAATACAGATTGTGATTCTCTTAGTACCATCCAATTCCTTCCTTCCTATTTTTAGCTATTTCCGCCGAGTACGGACGGTGAAAATTGACAATATAATGTATACGCGAGACATAATGTATTGGGAGTTATTCCCTTGGCGGAACGCTCGCCTAGGAAAGGATAACTTCCGGAAAGAAACCATCAGTGGGAAAACACGTAGATTTACATGATTTGCATATTTTTCTAGAACAATGAAGTGGTTTGAAGGAGCTATTCCCGAAGCTATACAAGCAGCAAAAGTTAAAAACAGTATTTTTATTGTCTACATCGCAGGTAATATTTCTATCGTGGTCAAAATCAGAGAAATGGTGAGAATTGTTTTGAAATTGTTTTACCAAAATGAAAGTGACTGTTATTTTTACGTCTCATTCGGGAAGTTAAAATAACAGAAAATGTGAAATATGACATGAAAAACATTTTCGTATACCCATACATAGGGACCCATACATAGGCACCCATACTCAGGTAGTACATGGCCGTGAAGTGAGAAGCCTACAAATTTAGGTTACTGTCTGCTGTAGACTTAACTAAAATATTCAAAGTAAATAATTTGAGTCAAAAAATAAGTGATGACAACTAAACCCATAAACTAAGTCTAACAACCTCAGTATTTAATGTGTTTTTCCTGTTGGATAAAGCAAGTCCCTGTACGGGTACCTTATTGTTTGCTAGTTATAACAACACGATGTTATTATTATTGTTAAAATACAGTTAACTTATACAACCAATCAAAACATCAATGGAATAGGAAGTGAAAACAGCTATGATATAATCCAGGCATATACGTAATCTGAATTGATTTATGCAATCCCACACCATTAAATGTATTTGAGACATTAACAACAATATACATTGATAAATAAACTTGTAAGATCAATAATATTTTAATCCGACCTTCATTAGTCAAGATATGCTTATAGGTTTGACTGGACAGATGTTAATTACAGTCTTAGTAGGAAACTAATGATCAAATTTTGAGCATGATCAGGAGCTTTGTAGTTTTGTGTATTGTTTGTGTTCATCTTATTAGTGGCTTTACACTCATTGTCATAGTTGAGTCTAGAGTAATTTTCCAGTTGTGTGAATATGACTCAAGTTGAAGGTGTAAGCAAGATTTGGTTCCAGGCTTGTAACATCCCTTTGAATTCAAACACATAATATTAGTTCCTTTCTTCTGTTTCATCCATTAAAGCATTCTTTCCCATTTCAGTGCATTTGTTCCTACATGGTGGGACCTATGCTAAGGATACATGAGAAAACTGCCTGAAGGGGGTTGCTTTGAGGATATGAATGTCTTTTTCAGATGGCAGAGAAAGAATAGATATATCACAAAAAGGAAGGAATCCTTTGTGTCTTAATGTACCTTCTGGAATTTTCTCTTTATGATGGACAGTCCATTATGAGCAACCTATTTATGTTGTTGAATATTGGTTCTTTCATTTTTAAGTAATTATTTCTTTTATCTGGACATACTTAAAGAACAAATAACCTCTTTTAACTATTACATATGAAAGATTTGTGGTCAGTCTTATTAAAACTTGTGGTTCATTAGTACACCAAAAAAGTTGCCCAAAATTCTTTAAAAACTTGTGACAGGTTCATTAGTGTCGCCAGAGCACTGCAGTGTGATGTCATATGAGGAAGGATTTTCAGTTAGCTTCACTCAAGCTCGCCATTTTGATGATTTCTCAACATCAGCGAAGACATGCCAAATCGACGTCAATTGCTCCTAAGGTCGGGCGATGGTGTCCATGCACAGATTTCCACAGGACCCGCAGTTAGTGCAAAATGGGTTATGTTTGTGAGTGAGGCGTTGTGGGGAGCCTGAAGCGATATTTACTTGTGTTCAGATTTCACAGAATTAAAGAATCAAAACTACTTACTAATAGTAAGTAGTAAAAATGCATATGATTGATGACCATAAAGATTTTCCATGACACAACTTGTAACATAATGATTTCTTCCTCAGAAGCGAGGTTGTGGTCAAAGTAACAGTGATGCTGTAAGTAGTATTATATTGACACCCACCTCGCTTCCACGAGAGAAATTGTTATGTTATATGCTATGTCATGCAAAATCCTATTGGCCATCAATCAAATACATATTTTACTATCAGTAGAAAGTAGTTTTGATTTTGTAACTCGGTGAAAACAAACCTAAATAGCATTTATACTCAGACTGGCGGATGTTCGCGACAGGTACTTCCCTTTTGAAAATCGTGAAAGTCACGGGCTAAAGTCTGTTAGAATATTAATGAGATTATGGTTTGTTTTCATCAAGTTAGAAAATCAAAACTACTTTCTACTCGTAGTTAAATATGTATTTGAATCATAACCAAAAGCATTTTGCATGACACAACTTATAACATAACGATTTCTTCCACGGAAGCGAGGTGGGGGGTCGAAGTGACAATACTGCGAGATACATTTCTTGCTACATTCACGTGGTTAACGTGCACTCACCAGTATGTAGATACTAGTCAATGTTCATCTTTATATTTGGTCTTATAATCCTAATTAGTTTATTATCATACTTGTATGCATTTGAAACTAAATAAAAAGCAGACGATCTGCTGATACTTATAGTACATTTATAACAGGACTGTAATATCTAGACATTTTATAGTTTGCCAATGTGAATGATAATTCGCACACACTTCCTAGTGTATGTCTCATTACACTTCACGGCGAAAACAACGATTCTGTTGAATGCTACGACAAATGAATAAAAACAAAATGCAAATATTAAAATTAAAACAGATTAAATTTATAGGAACAATGTCAGGCTATTACCTTGTTCGAGGAATGTATCCATCAATATCCACAAAAATCGAGTGATATGCCATTCATCTGCAGCTGTTCCAAGTAATGTGTGTTTTAACAGTCTAGTATACGAAAAAGTGATATATCGTTTCAGGTATGTCACATTGGTGTATAGTCTCATTGGTCACCCAAGATAGCACACCTGGCAACTGATTGCATAATGTCCGCCATTCTTTAAAAACGGTAATTTAGTTAGCCAATAATGAGCAATCAATCACTGTATTGGCGGTTAATCCTTTGAAGGACTTCATTGTTGCATAAGAAATACATATAAGCATTTGCTGTGTGCTAAAACTGTATGTACCTATTTACCTAAGTAAAATTTCAGATTCTTCTAGCAATGGCAAAATAGGGTTGTTTAGTTTACCGATTCAAATAAATCAAATGTCAATTTTTAATATCATACGTAATAGACGTCATATTTTTACATGACATGATTAAATATCGAGGTAAAAAAACACAGAAATGGGATCAATTTGGATCAGTCATTATACAAATAAGGCCTAACAACACCAAGCGATTTTGACAGAATCGTCTATGAAAACAAGTTGTAACTTGGAAACTAGGCAAAGCAGGAGACAAAATTATATGACAGTAGATTGTGAGAACATATAGCTTTCATTTTCCACAACAGTTGTCACGATTTCAGGTTTGTACAAACCTGTAAACAAGATAATTTACCCCCTGAAATGTAGATGAATTCTGCATCGCCCTCATATCTATTCCTCATATGACTTCACAGAGACGCCCCGCTCTGATTGGTTGAAATTTCGTTCGCGGTTGAGAATTGTGCACTGTTGTCAAAAAGGTCGATTTAAGTTGATTAAAGATCGAAGTGAGTAGTTTTAATGACGGGGTTTCATTTATAGCGATGCCAGTTAGTGATTTATGTATTTGTACCCCCCTAGAGTATATGTGATCTTTAATTGGAACCCAATACAGCATGTGCAGCAACCTAAGTGTAATGATTAATAGGATTCCATTTATTTGTTCATTTTGTATGCAAAAAATGTTCATAAAATCCTGCTTGGGTAACTGCCTCTACATTTAATGTAAGATTGCATTTGTTGAAGCATGACCAGCTATAGTAGGCCATGTCAGAGTGGTGAAGCTGTTCCCAACTTCTTGCAGGTGAAGATGACTTGTCAAAACAGATGAATGCCACATGGGAAGACACACAAGTTACTGAATTATGTGAACAAGAAGGTTGCGTTGCTGTCAAGATCAAAGCCAACAGGTTTGGTCATTTTAATTTTTTTTTGTGCAACCTATCATTCCGTTGTAATCAAGTCACAACATTTTAGAATGACATTTTTTACGCATCAGTACAGTAATTAAAACTTTTCTCATTTTAAGAAGTGAAGATCACATTATTTGTACACAATGTTTAATTTCTTAATTTTCTGTTTACCGGTATATATTTTGTCAATTTTAACTTCTGATTAATTTCTGCTTTTCAGTGATGAGTGTGGCTTTTTCTCACAGATCTGTATCCTTTCATTATGATGTGTGTTAGATTTCTCAGCTGACATTTGCTGATCAGGGCTTAACTGTGTTAACCGCATGATAGATATACATGATAAATGTGTTGCTTGAAAACCACGATTAGTACAATAGTGACAACCATTTGATCGGAATAGAAAATGTGTACAGTGAAGCCCGTTAGTCCGGACCCCGATAATCCGGATGTCTCGCCTCCTGGACGATTTCAGCATGTTACCAATCTATGCCTATTTAATTTGCCTCTGAAATTCGGTTTCCAGAACCGGATGGTAAGTAGCTGTAACCAATCAGTAAAATAAACAGTAAATTGCTTCACAGTCCGGACGCTGTAAGTCGTGTTCACGAACGTAACAACACCTCCCGGCGATGTTTACTTAACTGGCCTCAAACAATAAACACTCGGTGTCATGGAGTTGACAATATGAACTCTTGTTAACTTTTGAGAATGTCAATTAAGTGTTGTTGTTTTAATTAAGAAGAACGAGGTGTTTACAACGGCGTGGATGACAAGTGAGCTGTTTTGTGATTGGTTAATGTACTGACAGACAGATGGGGTCACGTGGACTTAAAGTGATTTTGCTTCTCTGCAACGCGCAAACAATTAGGGTCTTGATTCAGTAGTCCAGACGATTCACAATCCGGACGAATTTGCTTAGAAATGCAACCATCCGGATTAACGAGGCTTCACAGTATTCTGTTGATTGGTCGAAATTTCATATTTTCATTGACCAATTGCAAACAGCATAACAAGCATACATACTATTTCTACAGCCATGACATAAGATATGCACAGTTAGTAGTGTGCATGCAGAGGGACGTAAGTGCATGCTGAACTGGATGTCATTTATAGTATTGCAGCAGTTCACCATTGGGGTCTTGTGTTTGAGATGCTGAATATTTACCTTTTCATATTTCTAATGGAAATAGAAACTAAATGTGCGGAAGGCTTTTTGATGATACGACAGTGCTGGAGAACCAAGACTATTTTTTCACCTTAACATGCTAAAACCTTTCGTGCCTATCTTGATAATATGTTTACCTGTCATGTAGAAAAACAAAGTAAACTTGATCAATGAAAATTATTAATGACTACTTCCTGGTAGGGACCAGGGGTACACAAGAGGTGAAAGTTTTTACTCAATGTTCTGAAGTGTTGACTCTTACACATCTTCTCATCCACACTAGACATCACCAGCACGGGTTAGATATTTCAAAGTTCAAAACATTAACATTTTACCCCAAAGAATTGTCACAATTGATCAGTATCTGCATGTAAATTCAGTTTATTCCAAATCATAGAGTTACTTGCCTTCACCAACACCCAGACCCTGTTGTAGTTGTTCCATCAACATTTTTTATTGGTGCTAATGGCGTCCCTCTGGAGGTGACCGGGGGTTACCTAGGAGAATCAGGGTTCCTGGATAAGGTCAAGTCTGTCGTACAGGTAGGCACACAGCTTCATCATTGGTTCATTCCAAACGATGGACCATACTTATTGGGTCTTCTGGCTCATCAAAACAGGATCATATTTCAGAGGAACAAATTAACAATTAAAAGGTAGGGCTGGGACGGATACTCAGGTACTCGAATCCAGGTCGGGTACAGCTGGAATCAAGTCCTATTTCAAGGAATCGAGTACCCGGTAAGGGAGATAACTCTGTAATGTCAAGGGCATGTAACTCTAACTTAGCGTAAACTGGACGACACACATACTAAGTTGAGTGTTTGGGCTCATTTTGAGCTTGATGCAAATAGCAAGAGAACCAAATGCCGACTCTGTAGTACCATGTTATTTATTGCGAAAGCAGTACAAGTTCAATGCACAAACATCTTGCTCTAAAACACAACGTAAAACATGAAGGTGTTCATTACATTGTGTAACTACACATTCACAATAAAAGAGATTGTAATTAAATGATTGTATGTGTAGGGAATTTCAATTAAAACTAATGAATTAAAATAATAAAACGAACGTTTATTGAAAGAGCACATTCTGATTTGCAAATACAATGTTCGACTGATTATTATGACAATAAGAAAAAAGATGATCAGAAATATATATAGAAGCACAACTCACATAGATCACATATAATGCCATTCAGTTACTATACGTTTTATAGTTTAACAAATAATAATCAGCGTACAGTTATTCCAATGAAGATACGTATTGTTCACTTAAATACAAATTTAGAATAGTTAAATAATAATAGTTTTTGTGGCTTTTTTATTTAAACGTGAAAATATAGCATTTAGATACATTTCGTTATCCCTACATTCAAACAAAAGTATTTCAATGCAATTTTTAATAATCTTCTGGAAGGATAAAGATTTACTCACTACAAATATTTCATATATACGGTTAATGAGTTATTCACGGTCCTGTATTAGCCTGTACTCTGTAATGTATAATAGACAAACTGTAATGCAACTGAGCTGCTCAACAGAACTACATGACCAGTCTTTCTAGCGAAGCATTTTGCTAAGTTGCTTAACTCAGTTGCATTACAGTTTGTCGGTCTGAAAATCTTGTGTAGAATTCTCCAATCAGTAAATACATCAATCAAATTTTATTCTATGTAAGTACATAAAGTCTACATGTAAAACATTATAGGTTCAGTTAGAATATCACATCTGTCTACTAGCTGACAAAATAACCTGTCTTTTTCATTGACGTAACACACATTTACATCTTTGGCATTGTCCGGTTAATTATTAACGACTTTAATTTATCTGCACATGAGCAGTGAGTTGACAAGTCACAGGTAACAGCAGGAAGGAAAAGTGCTGTGGAATGTAAGTAATGGTGTTACTCTTTATATTAGTTAAACAGACGTAAATTGAATAGTCTAAGATCAGTTTCAATGTCTTATTGCCATTCTTTCAAGTTTTCTATAATAATCTCTGTCAAATCGTGATTGAATATTAATAAACTTGACAGAAGCTTTGTATTCCATACATTTCCGGGTACTCGATTCCGATTCGGGTAAGCACATGCAGGTACTCGATTCCATTTTTTCCTACCTGTCCCAGCCCTATTAAAAGGGTCATATATCTCTGACTCAACACTGCTTAATGAGTACAGAGTTCATTCTGATGACAATTGTGCAGATCGATGCTCATGCTGTTGATCACTGGATTGTCTGGTCCAGACACGATTATTTACAGACCGCTGCCATATAGCTGGAATATTGCTGAGTGTGGCATAAAACTACACTCACTCGTTCTGATGACTAAATGCCATTAATGGCAAATCTTGTTTGTACATTGTCACATTTTGGGCTCTGGTATCATCAGCTTGTCAAATCAGTTTTATCAGCTTGAAAATTGGTATGCTATATAAAAATTCAAATTTAATTATTTTTTTAAATGTTATGTAAATGACAAGAGAGCAAATCCAGTGATTTTTTGGGGGTGATTCAGACACATCAGGTCAAGTCACCATCATCTCCAGCAACACCAGCTAATGTCCCTCCATCAGAGCCAAGCCGGTCGGAGCCTGCGGCTGCAGCAGCTGCAGCATCACAGGTTACTGAGCCTGCAGCAGCATCAACCTCTGTGTCTGGGGAGGGAGATGATGGTGTCGAGAGTCAAGCCAAGATACCAAAGCTTGACCATGAGAGTAAAGTAGAGAAGTAAGAACCAGAATTGTCTTTAAAATAAACCTCAGTGAGTAAGCCAACGTATGTAAAGTATTTGTTGTTTGTGTTTTCTGTGTCAGAGTGAGCAAATTTTGTAATGTTTAACCTGGGTTGATTGCAAAAATTCGTTTTCATTCAGCCTCAGAGTAAATGTTTTATATGGAAGTGTTACCATGGTTACTGACGCAAGCAATGCCTCAGAATCAGCATTACACCATGTGCACCACATCAGTCAAAACCATGGTGTGCATTGTGACTGTGAGACAATAATAACATAAATGACCAAGTGAAAGTCTGTCCAATGCTTCCTGAATTAAGTGAAAAACTGTTCACAGTGTGTTTACCACAATCATGGTATGAACTACAGTATTGTCATTGGTATTTGGATCTTCATTATCCATATATTTGTGGTCGGTTGTAGAGCCACGATGATAATTGAACAGAAGAGGTTGGAGAAGAGGAAGCAAGAGGAGGAGGTAAGCACATTTGGTTTTAGCAAACTTTCTGCCACCTGTACAGGCTAGGCGGTTATCTCCCAATTGACAGACACCCATTTGACAGACAGCCAGTTGACAGACACTAAACTAGAAGGTTAATTAGGGTAATACCTACGGGTACAATGGAACAGTCCACTGTCTAGTGAGTAGAGCAGGGTGAACCTGAAACAGGTTCGTTACTGAGAAGTTTCATTGTGAGTAAATAGAACTTTGTTGTGATTAAATGATAATGATTTCTCTTCTCAAAATTTAGTTTACTATCAATTACTATCGAATATAAAAACAGGTTTGTCACTGAGAGGTTTGATTGTGTTTATTGATAGAAAAGCCCCCTCCCAAAAATAGCATATGTATAACAGAAGTTAAGTGTGAAAACGTTTTGTTGGAGAGATATAGATATGAACATTTTTGAAAACATTCTGATTTGCAGAATATGAGACACCTGCATTGCCATGTAAGATACAAATAATACCAATCAGTGTTCTAATTTTAACGATACTTTCTAAAGATTGTAACAGTTTATGTCTTTGAGTAGTATACAATGGTCATTCAAGGAAGTAATGGCCACATTGACATGATGCGTCATATTTTGAATATTTATTCTAAATAAATCGTAATTAAGTGCACTCGTCATATATCTTAATATTGTGTGCAAAACATATAACTTCTTTATTCCATATGAATAATATTTAGGTTCACATTTGTCTTTATTTGATTTATATGATACAACAGTGTATTTTTTGCGCCATGGAAATTCCTAATAGTTAAGCTAATGTTTTCAATATGATGATGCCCCTAGATGTGCTTTTGGGGTTTACATCCAGATATGAATTGTATTTTTGCGTTAGACTAGAAGGTTAAACAGAAATGTTTATGAAAACAAGCTGTTTTTATATTGCAGCAAAGAAAATTCAAATTACTGTCTTTTCGTCCATCTTTCAAAATAAATAATACAGCTTCAGGTTTTTCCTGTGTTTTTATTTGGACTATTCCATTATAATGTGTAGGTAACAGGTAGTAGATAATCTGTTCACTGAACCGTAAATGTTGTTTTATGGTGTCTGGGAACTGGCTGTGTGCGTATTGAGAGGACACCGGTTAGACACACCAGTGCTGCAGGAGGCTCTCTTGTTTTGTAACACTAAGCTACACACACAGGTGCTACAAGAGTGTCTGGTGTGATGTAACACTAGGCTACACAGACAGGTGCTATAATAGGGTCTGGTGTGATGTAACACTAGGCTACACACACAGGTGCTATAAGAGGGTCTGGTGTGATGTAACACTAGGCTACACACACAGGTGCTATAAGAGGGTCTGGTGTGATGTAACACTAGGCTACACAGACAGGTGCTATAAGAGGGTCTGGTGTGATGTAACACTAGGCTACACACACAGGTGCTATAAGAGGGTCTGGTGTGATGTAACACTGGGCTACACACACAGGTGCTATAAGAGAGTCTGGTGTGATGTAACACTAGGCTACACAGACAGGTGCTATAAGAGGGTCTGGTGTGATGTAACACTAGGCTACACAGACCAGTGCTATAAGCTGGTGTGATGTAACACTAAGAGGGTCTGGTGTGATGTAACACTAGGCTACACAGACAGGTGCTATAAGAGGGTCTGGTGTGATGTAACACTAGGCTACACACACAGGTGCTATAAGAGGGTCTGGTGTGATGTAACACTAGGCTACACACACAGGTGCTATAAGAGGGTCTGGTGTGATGTAACACTAGGCTACACACACAGGTGCTATAAGAGGGTCTGGTGTGATGTAACACTAGGCTACACACACAGGTGCTATAAGAGGGTCTGGTGTGATGTAACACTAGGCTACACACACAGGTGCTATAAGAGGGTCTGGTGTGATGTAACACTAGGCTACACAGACCAGTGCTATAAGAGGGTCTGGTGTGATGTAACACTAGGCTACACACACAGGTGCTATAAGAGGGTCTGGTGTGATGTAACACTAGGCTACACACACAGGTGCTATAAGAGGGTCTGGTGTGATGTAACACTATAAGAGGGTCTGGTGTGATGTACACAGGCTACACACACAGGTGCTATAAGAGGGTCTGGTGTGATGTAACACTAGGCTACACACACAGGTGCTATAAGAGGGTCTGGTGTGATGTAACACTAGGCTACACACACAGGTGCTATAAGAGGGTCTGGTGTGATGTAACACTAGGCTACACACACAGGTGCTATAAGAGGGTCTGGTGTGATGTAACACTGGGCTACACACACAGGTGCTATAAGAGGGTCTGGTGTGATGTAACACTAGGCTACACAGACAGGTGCTATAAGAGGGTCTGGTGTGATGTAACACTAGGCTACACAGACAGGTGCTATAAGAGGGTCTGGTGTGATGTAACACTAGGCTACACACACAGGTGCTATAAAGGGTCTGGTGTGATGTGACACTAGGCTACACACACAGGTGTTATAAGAGGGTCTGGTGTGATGTAACACTAGGATACACAGACCAGTGCTATATGAGGCTCTGGTGTAAGACTAAGCTACACAGACCAGTGCTACAAGATGGTCTGGTGTAACACTAAGCTACACGGACCAATGCTACAAGAGGGTCTGGTGTAACACTAAGAGTCACTGACCAATGCTACAAGATGGTCTGGTGTGATGTAACACTAAGCTACACAGGTGAGTGCTACAAGATGGTCTGGTGTTTCAGGAAGCCAAGAAGAAGGAGATGGAGCGGATCAAGCTGGGGCAAGAGGTCCAGAAGCTGAAACAGTTCCAGCAGGATCGTGAGCTGAAAGAAACAGCACAACAGCTGAAAAAGGACAGGGAAGATGACAAAAAGGCTCGAGAGCGGATTAAGGAGCAGATCGCCAGAGACAGGTAGGCAGAGTGATGAGTGGCTGGGTGTTTGGTGCAGTCAGCATTACTTACCTGTTCTACCCTGGACCCCCGATGCAGGTGAGAGAAAGAGTAAATACTAGGTAACAGATGCAGGGCATGGTGGTTTGTAATATACTCATGACCAGCAGCAAATACAAAAAGCTGTGAAAACAAGGAATTTAATTGTTTGGACATATTCAATATATTTAAAGAAACTGTGTGTTTGAACAATGATTGTTAGTAGTTGTTTAGAAAGTTTATCTTTACTCAGAGTAATCGGTGGAATTTTCCTCAAACTTACAGAAACAATTTCAGGGATTGTAGTGTTCTCTTGTGATTGTGTGCCTGTGATGTGATTCAGGGCAGAGAGAGCAGCCCGCTTCAACAAGGAGAAGGCAGATAGGGAGAAGACCCAAGAGGAGGCAAAGCGGGCCAAGCTAATGGCCCAGCAACAAGCAGCAGCAAAGGCGGAGGCTGAAAGAAGGTAACCCTTCCCTTGTCAGACACAGGAGATGAGTTTATGAGCATCATCGGAACCAAACAGTGAAACACAATAGTTATTATGTGCCTTGATGCGCCTCCTGAAATTCAAGTCAGTGAGTTTAATCTTTAGGAACTATGTTTTCTCTGGCGTAGGAATGCCATGTTATGTGATTTATGCCATATTATGTACAAACCTAGACGTAAATATATAGATATTTTGTTGTTCAGTGAGCTGAATCTGTTCAATGTGCTCACCTGGTGCTGACCTTATTTCCAGTGAGACAGGCAAGAATACAGTTCCGTTTACCTGATGGTTCCTCAGTAACCCAGCAGTTCCCATCTCGAAACAACCTACAAGAAGCCTACAACTTTGTGTCACAAGTACGTCAATTATTCCTTTATATACAACATGGAACATCTGTTGTTTGTTTCCAGCCTTCATTTAGTTCAGGTTTAGCATTTTTAGAAACAATTTATTTTTGTTTGTTTTCAGCATGTTGGAAGTACAGTGACCCTTTCAACAACGTTTCCGAGACGAACATTCTCTGATGCCGACATGTCACTGACATTTGCTGATCTGCAGCTGGCTCCTTCCTCCGTCGTCATGGTTATGCCAGTAAGCAGTAAAACATCTCATGTTCCTTGACACAGGTGACCCAGTCATCTAAGGCCCCTTGAAAGATGTACAGAGTTGCATCCCTGAGGCAAGCTAGAACCTGTGATAATGGGTTCAAATCATGGATTGTAGGCACTGTACTTGTGCTCGTGGGTTTTCTCCTAAGTGGGAAAAGCCGACGATTTCTGGCTTTCCTGCCACTTATAAACCAATACTGTGTGCCAAAAAAGGAATTCTGTTGAAAGGGTGTATATTAAAGTCTTGATTACCTACTATCAACATGAAATATTGCAGACTGACGCATATTGTAGTCACTTCCTTACCCTAATTTCACTACAAATATACATGATATATGACCACAGATGGTATCACTATTAGTGCCCCATCCAGAAAGAGATACATGACTGATATCTGACCGGGTTTGATGGCATGGCATCTCGCCTGGACAGCATGGATCAATGTTCCTGCAGTCATAATTTTTCTCACTCCATCACATATATTGCCCCTGTGAGAATTTTGTCTCCAGTGTTTTAGTCTTGTCTTGAGGGAGACAAAGATGTAGTGAAATGGTTGTTTTATCTGTAAGGTATTCTGACAGTGTTCAAGTCAACACTGATGAATAAAATATTCACATATCATTAAATACATATGAATGAAATCAAAGTATACACAAGCATCTATGTAAAGTTAATAACGTCCTTACACAGTTTAAGCAAGACAAATGAGAAAACAGACTATGATCTGAAAGTGTTATATAGGTTATGACTTCTGATATTCTGATATGTGTACATATAAATAACCTATGGACTATGTAGCTCAACTGGCTGAGAAAACATTGTGATGGTCTTATTAATATCTCTATTTCAATACTTGAACATTAACAGGTATAGCTGTTCCAAATGTTGGATTCCATTCAGTCAATACTTGAGAGAATGGACTTTGTAAGAAATATATATATATATTATGGAATTTCTATGAGTTCGCTTTGAACTCATAGTCGATATCAATATTGGTCAAATTTGCTAAAACTCATGTATGCAGATTACATGTCAATATTCACAACCTTCAGTTCAGATCTTCTTTACTTCTAAAAATCAAAGTATGAACTGCTTGCTCTAGAAGCATGTAAGATCTGCAAACAATTGAAAATACAATGAAAATAATTACTATTTATAAATATTCTTCATACATGTGATAATACATTCATGACCCGATTGGTTATGTGGTTGAAAATATCTGATAATCAAATTTTCAGAAGAGACAATCATGTCTGAATTGGACGGAAATATATGACTTGCTGGTTCAAAACTGAGACTTCAATCTTATCCTTCTATGATAAACTTATATAATACAAATTATGATGAAACAAGAAGTCAGATTATTCAAATACATGAGATTCACCGGTGTTAACAAAAATGCTCAATATTCCAAAGGTCTGACTTGAAATCACCTCAGTAGCTTTACAAAAACCACTCATAATGAACTAGGCACATGTTAGCATTCTCTGGTTAATCCAACAAAACAATAAACTTCAAATACTATCACAAATCTATAAAGGTCAATCTAAACCTATATATCACAAGCTACGATACCTGTCAAATGCTTGTCCAAGTTCATATTGCTCTATTATTATTACTCAACCAGCATTTCAGAGATTAACTTTGTTCAACAATAAGCACTAACCCTGTTTGCCTTTGCCGATCCTTTAAACAAGCTTGCAGTGCGCAGCTCACTTGAACAGTGTACAACAGTCAACTACATCAATTTTTCCAAAAATTGGTAGTTGCAACAGTAACAAATATGTCTTACACATCCAACGGATTTCCAAATTTTGAGGTTGTTGCTGAACCCTTTCAGCACCTCACTGTGTTCCCACTGTAATATTTTCTTCTTTTTCTTCATTAACTGGGTTGCCAGTGTCGGGTACTTTCACAAAAGCTTCAATGTTGACTGGGCTTTGCACATTTACACCAGCTTGTGGAATCAGTGGATTTTCCTTATCTGACATCTGCAGGGCACACCATGTTGCTGTTCTAGCTCGTCGAGTGTGCGCAGTAAGTTCACTGATACTTGCAGCCAAAGCCAATACATCTGCAAAATAGAAGATCAAGGCTCAAAATTACATCAATACTTGATGGCATACGAGTCCTTCAACTTAGTCCAAGAACACAAGCTTAGCATAGTTCCTGGTGTAATGATGGTGTTAACTTTATTCTTTCAAAATGTTTTGCATTGTAAAAGGATCATCTGTCAACCAGTGAGTGAGTGAAGGAATGAATTTCTGAATATTTCTTTAAGACACAATCCGACTTGGCAAAAGTTAGACTAAGTGCCATATATTTGAGTCTTTTGCCCTCTTTCCTATTCATTCACACCAAATCGCAGATGGCTACATAAATGATGTATGATTTTGTAAAATAGGATCAAAGAGTACTTGAGATCAAGCCTGTAACATCATCAGCTTGAAGTGACATTACATTTATCAAACTACTCTGTCTCTTACACAAACGTATTATGGGATCTGGAAGAAATGGACGTGAAAAATAATGTCATAACTAGTACAATTCAGTTTTGTTGTTTTTTGTTTTTTGTTTAACGCTGCACTCAGCAATCTTCCAGCTATATGGTGGACTACAATTCAGTGAGACATATTTTCCACAGATCAATTTGTAAACCATCCTCTGTCTGTCCTTGCTACAAAGGATTCTTTTTGACAATGTGTGAAGGGTTTCATTTTGAAAATACATCTCAATGAATTGTTCATATTGGCCAGAATAGTTCTCGACAGGAGACCTGACCAAAGATTAGTTCATGCAACCTAATCATCATTGCAAGCCTCAAAACAAAAATATCCAACCTTTATCTTCCTGATGGCGCGAAACACCTGCTCGATGTCTATTGGCAGCATTAACGATTTCCTCCTTCCTTCTAGCCTGGACTTTCCTGATACCCTCCAACCACTTGTCAAGGGAGGAGTGGACATTAGCATGGATGGATATTGTTCTTAGTTTTTCCATCTTATCAATCAGTGTTATAATCTGAAAAAGGAAGATTGCAGTAATGTGTACCAACAGGTCAAGTATTGCAAAAACAATACATGATGTCAGAAGTTTTTTGTGGGTATACACAAAATTAGAATTACCAAATTGATCAATGATACACAAGTGCAATGATACAACAATAGTGCAATAAAGGTAAACACTAAGTTTTCCTGTTTAACATTCTTGTCCTACAAAGTTCTTAAACATCATAATCTACTACAGGGTTCCCACAGGCATGGCAGGCCAAAATTCCCTGGCTTTTCCCTGACAAGTATAGATTTTTCCCTGACCATGTAAGTGTAAAAAAACTGGCCTCCTTCTTCCCTTTCAGTCAGTCCTAACCACCATTTAAGATATTTCCTTCACACATATCATAAATACACACAGTATTTGTTAATTTATTACATTAAACAAAATATTGATATTTGTGATGAAGAAAATTTTCCTTGACTCTCCTGCCACAATGTTACATAATACTATTAGAAACATTTGACCGTGACCATCAAATATATATTCTCAGGTGAAGTCAATAATATATAATCTGAAAACTTTGTATTTTATATTAAAGGCTTTTGACTAAGAGCATAAATGTGAAACTAATGATTTAATTGAATTGTTTCATTCAAAGTCAGGAACACATTTCTTCATTATCACAAAATGTTGTAATTATCAAAGGTGTATTTGGAAAGCATAAACATGCAAGATGTAACTTTACATTCAGTACAACCATGACAACTAGATTATGAACACCATTCAACCACTTTCAATTTTTTGTGAATAAACAGCAAATGTCAGAGCATAGGGCATATTATAAACCTATGCTGTACTTTAACAATGAAACTTATATGGGCATATTTGGCCAAAATGGGCTTTCTCAATTTGCAAGAAACCACCATAGCCATCATACTATTTATAATATTTTGGAACAGTATACAAATGAATGGAAAATTATCTGTTAACATAGTTATCTTTAGAAGAGATGGATCTGTTGCCTATAAAGAAAAATGTTTTTGAATGGCAAACAATTATCTATTGTTAATCACTATGCCTATCTCGGACTAGTGTTTTTCCATACAAAAGAGTGTTATAAATCTGAAATCACATGCTAAGAAGGCTCTTATCAAATTTATGTCAGTTTCACAGAATTTGGAATTTTAACCCGCAAAATATTGTTTGATTCACAAATCCAACTGATTGTGCTTCATAGAAGAATATGTCTGTTATGTCACCCGGCTGTAGAAGATCAAATTCACCTTATGCTGATTTAAGAAAACAATACATGCCATCTAGGGCTTTATGTAAAACATGTTGTTATGCTTAAAAGCAATCTCTTATCTGAACTGTAATTTTTTTCATGAAATGTCTGTAACATGTGCTGCATCTTTGACTACTACCATACCTGATTAGCGACATTCTGAGTCTTATTTTTCCCTGACCAACACCCCAAATTCCCTGACTGTTCCCTGACTTTTAGAGAAATGCCAAATTTCCCCGACTTTTCCCTGACCTGTGGGAGCCATGTAACACTTTCATTATAATCCATTTCATATCAGGTATGCATGGAGGAGGTCCCCAATGTTAGATATATTCAAAGGCAAAATATATTGTGACACACAAACAACAAACAGAATGGGTTTTACTGCTGCAAATGAAATGGTATTACATGGAAAGCCAAGTAGCTAGCCTGATTTGAACACAAAGTATGATGTGATAAAGGTTATAAGTTATTCTCCAGAATAGAAATTTAACAAGGAGAAAGCTCATTTCTATATTATTCGCAAGACTGTTTGGGTGGGGGTGAAAATATTCATCAACATGTTCATTCTGAGATTTCAGGCACAAATATGAAGCCCACGTCAAGCAAAATGTCCTTAGGTCCAGTAAAATCAGCAGATAATGCTATGTGATAACATTAAAATTTAGATAAACTTGTAGAGGTTTCCAATTCTTTGAAGAGAATCGTCCTTGGGGTACATATATGCATTTTCTGCGGCTGAAAATGTCATGTGACAGTTGTATCAATGTTTTAATAAAAATATTGTACAATAAATAAAATCTTTTTTATCTATTATACGGCCTCCACCACATGGAGTTACCTCCCTGCTACGCATGCGCAGCCAACGAGGTAAGCACCTAGGCCTGTATCATTCCTTCTGCTGAATAAATCAGTGAACAGAATTGTGGGGAGGTGGGTGGCCCTACCCCAAGGACGATTCTCTTCAAAGAATTGGAAACCTCTACAGGTTTAGCTAATTCTTTTTCACAGAGATCGTCCTTGGGGTACATATATGCATTAACTCAGACTCCCAAAGACCAGAGGCTAGGGAGGTGGGAATTCTGTCAAAGTACACATAAATAGAGATCGTTATGAAGAATGTAACAGACGCCACAACACTCACCTGTCACGTGTCCCGAAGCTTTTGCGAGAGGCATGATGGGAGGATAACTGACAGGGAGGAAAGTACTAAGATCCGACCTCATAGGTTAAGCAAAGCAATTCGCACACAGTGCGAAAGTAAAAAAAAACACCCACATAGTGAATCTATCATAAGAGCACCGTAAAGGGGAAACCTAACTCACAACCGACCATAATCTCCTGAGAGAATCGAAAGAAGTTAAATATGATAACAGCCGATATATCAATGATAAACAATTGAAAGCAGCGCCAACTGTCCAGATAACCAAGACTCACTTGGTCAGGGTGGTAGGACATTGTCCACCGCAGAGAACAAAACGGCCAAAACGCGCACGATCACATGAATGTGTATCGAGCTGATAGAAGTGCTAAGCCTGCTCCAAATAGCGACAGAGCATATCTCTTCAATGGGTAGTGCCGATGCAAAAGCCTTTGACGTGGCCACTGCCCTGTCCGAGTGAGCCTTCAACCCCTCAGGGGGAGGCTTGCCCTTAGCCTGATAAGCAGCACAAATGACCGATACAAGCCAGCGTGAAAGTGTCTGTTTGCTAGCCAGCATGCCAGCCTTCCCGCCACCGTAACAGCAGAACAGATGGGTACCTGTACGGATCCCTTGTGTTTGTTTGATATAGACCTTGAGAGTCTAACGGACACCAACGGGTGAGTGCTCATTGCAGAGGTCCCCAATGTGGAAGGCTGGGTAAGAGTAGGAAGTTCCGTAGGAGCTGCATAAGAGGGTGCTGCCCAAGAAGAGCACCATCGGGTGTGGAAAGTGGAAATAGCGGTGGAGTAGCCACGAATGGTCGAAGCCGCCAAGCCTTCTTTCAAACAAGCTTTGAAAACTCCAATACTCGGACTAAATCCGCAGAAAAGGGATCTTCCATCCCCCTATCTGAACACCAGCACGCATAGCGGGACCACCTATCCTCATATTGAACTTTTGTCGAATCCCGCCTCGAAGCCAGAATTGTGTCTGCAACTGCTGCAGGAATTCCGCGTGCTTCATGGCTAGACCTGACAGAGGCCAAGCCACCCACTGAATCCTTGGATCAGGGTATGGCACGCCGTTCTGAGTGAGAATGTCCGGTCGCAAAGGTAATAGAACAGGAGGCTGAGCCAGAAACCTGAGAATTACTGGAAACCAGCTCTGTGACGGCCATAGCGGTGCCAATAGCACAAGTAGCGGAGCTGGCTGGGTGGACAGCTGGGAGAGGACCCGGGGAATGAGTGGTAGAGGCGGGAACGCCCACAGCACCTTGCCCGTCCAATCAAGCAGGAAGGCGTCGGAAGCCAACGCCCACTGTTCCGGTATTCGAGAGCAGAACACGGGTATCTGATTCGTCCCGCCGGAACGCAAACAGATCCACCTGGCTCGAAAACCAACCGCAGCAGCTCTCAGTTCTAAGACGTTGATGTGAAGGTGGGCTTCGGCTTCGGACCAGAGTCCGGACACCGACAGGCTGCCCAGAACACACACCACCACACCCCCACCCCACCCCCACACCCCAGCCCATGAGGGATGCATCTGTTTGAACTGTAAGAGCTGGCATCGGGATTTCCAAAGGGATCCCCTTGGAGAGATTCCCGACATTGGTCCACCACTGAAGGTGAGGATACAACCACCCGGGGACTGTGAGACACTGCTCCAGATCCTCCGAGTGAGCCCACAGCCTCGCCAAAGCTTGCTGTATAGGGCGCATCCTCAACCGCACCCGCTACACGACAGAGATAGTTGCCGCCATATGACCAAGTAGACGGAGCCAAGGCTGCGCGGGTGCCTGGGGCTGGGAGAGGAATGAAGACACAATCTCCCGTACTCTGGTGACCCGGTCGGGCGACAAAGGGACAAGACCCTTGTGAGTTGTGAACCTCGCCCCAAGAAAAAACAAGTGGATACCAGGTCTGATTTCTTGAGGTTGATGATCCACCCCAGTCGAACTAGAATGTCTATCACCATGTGGGTAGAATCTAGGCTCGTCGAGGTAAGGATAACAATGCCTTCCTTGCGACCTTGCGAGGGTAGCCGGCACTAACATGAGCTTGGTGAACACACTGGGGGCAGTGGATATGCCAAAGGGGAGCACAGTGAATTGGTAATACATCCCGTTGTAAGAGAACCGGAGGTACTGCTTGAACGATGGATGAATTGGCACATGTAGATACGCATCCTTTAGGTCGATCGACGTAAGCCAATCGTCGGGCTGAACAGAGGAGATCACCGAGTGAAGTGTTTCCATCTTGAAGGATGGAACCTCTAGCATGCGATTCAACCCCATGAGGTTGAGAATGGGACGGAAACCCGCCGTCCTTCTTCGGAACGAAGAAGTATGTGGAATAAAACCCCGCCTGTTCCTCACCCGGTGGTATGGGCTCTATTGCGGACTTGTCCAGCAAAGCCTGAACTTCGTCTCGCGGTATACCCGCCTTGACCGGACATGAGGTACCGGAGTGTGATGTATGCCGGTCAACTCTGGCGGGCCTCGCTTCCACAGTGGTAGATGGCCGACACTGACGGTGGATAGCAACCCAGTGTTGCTTGTAGCCTTCTCCCACTCCGGCAGACACGGGCGTAGGCTGCGCCCCGGAGGAGGAACCAACTACGGGAGCGAGAAACCTGCGGTTGCTCCAACAAGGCCTTAGAGTCCTTGAAGGAGGTAGCTGCTGCAGCAGCCTCCCAAATGACCTGCTGTCCCCCCGAAAACAACGTCGCTCCCAGCCGAAACGGAAGGGCCAGCAAGGTCTGCTGTGTCGCTGCCGAAAAACAGGATGTAGACAGCCACAGCTTGCGCATCCCCATGACTGCGCACATCACCGTAGACGCGGCAGACCGCAAACTGTCTCGCATCAGGTGGGCCTGCACTTTGGATAAATTGGCGAAGCAGAACAACATTTGGGGAAACATCCCCAGTGCTCCTTTCCGCCTCCAGAGCCGACCTTTGGATAGAGGAAAGGTAGGCCCCGCACCTGCTGCATGGCATTCCGGTAGACTTCCTCGTAAGTCTGGTATGTGTGTTGTAGGGGGGCGCCCGCTAGGGCAAACGGTGGAACTAACCGCACTTGCTTAGCAGCCGGAGCTGCATCTGAGGAAGCGGAGCCTCCCCCGAGGGCGACCGAAGTGAACATGCACTCGTCAACTACCGGCGCAGAGAATCATCCCCCAGCTGGTACCTCTTAACGAGTTCGGGTAAATCGAACGGGAGGCGTGACTCAACCAGGAGGGGATCCATCACGTCCTGCACCAGGGAAGGCAAGATACGGAGCTGTGTCTGCGAGGGCTGCCTAGGGGCAAACGCCTCGCCCGGCAGGCGGAACTCAGTTGAGTCCGAGCGACATGTCGGCACCGCGGCTTGGGGTATATACTCGGCGATACGTTGCCTAACCTCCCGGAGAGCCTACGAGAAACGGAAAGTACTCTCCGACTCCTCAACCTCCCCAACATCCATAGACTTGGCACCCGAGCCAGAGTCAGAATTCATGTCTCCTCGTGAAGAGGCGCCAAACCCCGACCCACAGACGCCGCGGGAAGGGAAGAGCCGAAGAAACTCCCCACTCCGGCAACCGACAACACTCGAACCACGGTCCCAAGACACAGGAGGAAGACCGGGCAGAACCGGCTCGTCCACTCTCATGGGGCGGGGTTGCGCAGGGACCGGAACCCAAGGAATCCTCAACGGTCCCTGCGCCAGCACCGAGAGGGGGACTTGGAGCGAACCCTCCCCCTCCGGGGTAGCCGAGGCGTCTAGACCCGAAGCCATGGGCAAAGGATGAACAGTTGCCTCCAGGCTAAGGGATCGAGCCGGGCTCAGCGATCCCACCCCCAGACTCGCGGTCCCCTGTTCAGAGTGAGCGAGGAACTCCTGGCGGAGACCTCCAACGGACTCATGAACAAGGGACATCACGGAGTCCATGTGCTGCTGAAACAAGTGAGTGATTATTGACATATCAAAACCACTAGATTGGGTTTGAGATTGGGAATGCGACTTATGCCAAGACTTAGGTTTAGCTTTCGGGATATTCTGCCCACAGACAGTACACCAAGTAAACGCCTGAAAGCAAACACGCAAGCATGTAGCTAACGGCGGAACATAGCAGCATAAATATACATGTACAAAACATTGAAAATTATGTGAATGCGACCACGCAACATGAAATACTTGGTTAATAACACAATATTTCAACCACGTGGCGCTGAACTTCCCGCCATGGAATAGCAACACGTGCGAAACCACGGGAAAGCTAGCGTAAAAATTTAATACAAAGCAGGGGTTCAAATTTCTTTTAAAAAGCCACTTGCCACAGGGCAAGTGACTTTAAGAAAGTCACTTGTCCTGACTAATTTTCCACTTGCCCTGATTTTATGACATAATTATGATGATGTAATTATGAAAGAAGAAATCAACATGGTATTTGATGTTAATGTTTCCTGGACTATTTATTGAAAAGTGATAAATAGCAAAGAAAGAATACTCTACTTTATTATCATTGCGAAATTTAATAGCTACATTTTGAGCAGATAACTAAATCAAAGTTTATTTGCAGTTTGAAACCATAAGTGGAAATTATCTAGTAGCCCACGGACAAGTAAGATACCATTATCTGATTGCCCGAAATGAAAACTGACTGGTCCCGGGCGTCGTCAGGCGATTGGATTTTTGAACCCCTGCAAAGTCACATAAATGAGAAATAACAGACTGCAAAGTCAATAAAACTGTTCTTTGTCTTTTTCAAGAACGAATAAAGACCATACATACAGTTGTTGAAGTCTCAGACATTCCTTCACAAGAGAAGTAAATCAGTTTTGTAACTCAGAACACGTGTGAACGCTTGAGCGACAGCAGAAGGAATGATGATACGGGCCTAGGTGCTTACCTGGTTGGCTGCGCATGCGTAGCAGGGAGGTAACTCCATGTGGTGGGAGTCGTATAATAGATAAAAAATAATTATTTTTTGTACAATATTTTTATTAAAACATTGATACAACTGTCACATGACATTTTCAGCCGCAGAAATGCATATATACCCCAAGGACGATCTCTATGTAAAAGAACTACTAATGTGATGCAAAGTTCACAAAGAGAAATAACTAGCATGAGAGAAAGCATTTCAAAATGTTTCTTTAGTTTTGATTGGCAAGCCAAAACCTGTATGAAGAACACAAATCAATACCCTTGCGTGTTCCCTGAAGGAATCCACAATAAGTCGATCCACTCTAGAAGGGTTTGATGGTAGTCGAGGAATGACAATATTGTTGGCACTTGATACTTTCTTTCCTGGATTCTGTCTGGCTAGTTCTGCTTCCGTCTTCAAAAAAGGTAATTACAGGCAAAATTACATAAGGCTATGAGTTATTACAAAAGGAACTGCAACAGAACAAAGTACTATGCAGACATTGACAAATTAGGGATTTCCCGTACAGAACAAATATCAATACCACAAATTCCAAACCATAAATTATGGTGTTATTGGATATTCCTTTAAATAGGACTCCATAATATTTCATGAACCACTCAGTATTTATTCACAAGTTATTGACACAGGTGAGGTGAGGTGAAATTGGGTTTAACGTCGTGCTTGAGAATATTTCGCTCATATGACGACGTATGTGTATGTGCGGTTGCTTGTAGTAGCCCAGACTTAAGCTGGTTTCAAAGTGATAGCCCACTGAGATACCATGCTGCAGTGAAGCATGAATACCCCACTCAGACACATTATACTGACTCCGAGCCAACCAGTCCTTGTTGTACCAATTAATGCCGAACGCTAGGCAGGAACCAACAAGTACCATATTTTAACGTCTTTTGGTATGACACGGTCGGGGATCAAACCCGTGACCTTCCGCTCTCCGGGCGGACGCTCTAATCACTACCCCACGGAGGCGGTCTTTATTGACACAGGGTACTGATAGTTTTCTCTGGGTATTCAGTATACATGTATATGTATTTTACTCCCTTGGGTCCAGTTGTTGGACATTTTTGCACCAACAGGTTAATTTACTCAACATTTTGCCCAAACATCTATCTCTGGTGACTTCTAATTTGTATCTTATTGTACTGCCACAATCATGTTGTATGAACACTCAATAATAAAGTAACTACATCACAAGGAATGAGACAGTAACTTTTTCATGTATTATTCACTGCAGTAGAAATCATACATGCAAGGTGGCTGCATTTGATCAGTAACCTAGAGATAAATAAAGAGGTATGCAAGTTTAAGAGGAAAGCATTGGTTAATCATGCAGTGTAAATCTATCATTAGGTTTTTATGCATTTTCATGAATATTTGTTTGCAAGCAACTCAAAACTATTATAGTGGTATGTGAAAATGAGTTACTGAATCTACTCTTTACTTACAAAGGCACATTTCAATGCAGTCATTTCAAAAGGTCTGTCAGCTGTTCGTTACATACAGCTTGTAATAAATGAACTATCCTTCTCTATGTTTTGATTAATAAAAGTCAACATTATATCTTAATTATTTTTTTTTCTCTGAATGAGGTTTCACCATTTTAGACTATCTGAAAGCAGGTATCACCTCTTCTTTTAACTATTACCTGCACAATATTAGTGACTATTGAACAGTGAATAGTAACTGACTAACTGTAACTCCATCTATTAAAAGGTACAACTTTCACTAATTTATCTCCTGCTTATTATGTTAAGATCAAGATGAAGAACCAGAAATTATACTCATGTGATGTTGGCTGGTCATTATCTGAGCTAACACCACATGATTGTAACTTCAGTTTCTTTGCTCTGGCATTGTAAGCCAATAATAACGTTGATAGTCTCCCTTGCCGTCACGCCGAAGACCCGGGTTCGATTCCCCACATGGGCACAATGTGTTAAGCCCATTTCTGGTGTCCTCCGCCGTGATATTGCTGGAATATTGCTAAAAGCGGCGTAAAACTAAAACTCAGTCAGTCAGTCAGTAGTCTCCCTTGCCTTACACAAGTTCTAGAAAAGTTCTTGATATCCTGACCCTACACTTATCCCAATTTCAAGCCATGCGAATTACTTTCCCCACAGTATTTCAGTCAAAGATGTGACTGGCAAAAATTTTGTACGTCATGTACAATTTCCCTGACAATATCGCTGACCACATCCTTCACTGAGTATCTTAGCATAGACACATTGCTTTAACCTACAAAAGGCTTGCAATAATTTTCTCTGAATGAGATGCAATTTCAGATTTCACCATCAGAGAAAACTAACGAAAACATGCAATGTTCAAAGTGGTTATTTTTTTAGCCAATCAAAACTGAATGAAGCCATATCTGCTGATGCAGAACTGCTTAGCAATGAGGATTCTCCAGTTATGTAGTAGATTCATCATGCATTTCAATTACTTCAACCACAGCAAGCTTATGATATTTATTACATGATAATCTGTTTATTTTTCATTCATATATATCTGCATATCATTTAGCCGTACATATGCTGATATGCTCCATATCTGGAGCACTGTCATTAATATCAAATCAGCTGTCACACTTACACTCTCATCAACCATGCATAATTGATGTCACTGCAGGGATCAAAATGGCGCAGAATTTGAATGCCAAGGCACGTCAATTATTGAAATGGCATGGATGAAAAATTGGCAATGTGCCATGTCAGCACAGCTAATATACACCATCCTCCATGTAATCGAAAATGCGATAAATCTAACCAACCTAAATTACTCAAAAGCTAATTTTGTACCCCATCAGACTGTTTATCTGTGGCACTCTTAGGTGGATGCCAGTGAGTCAGCATAACAGGAAAGCCATTTTGGATGATAACCTAGTTCATGGGTCAGGGACAAATGAAGCTGAATTAAATGAAGTCTCTGAATATATATTTTTAATACTTATATCTCACAATACTTTTGATCGTAACAAATAATCCCATTTACATTGAAAAGGAGCCAAAATGAGATTCAGAACTTGAGGAAATCTAGACTTGGTTCATTAAGAGCTTTGGAATTGCAGAAAAGGACTGAGCAGAAGAGAAATTAATGTGGTTCAGGGTCTGTGAGATAAGACTAGTTTACAGGTCTACTTCATGTTTACTGACTTATTAACAAAAAATTGAAATGACATAATTGTTGTGATGTTTTAAGTTTAACTGGATAATCAAGAGGTATTTGAACACTTACTTTCAAAAAGGCACACCTTAATTATCTGTCTGGTGCCCTGTGGCACCCTTAACAAAATTTGTATCTAACATGGTTATATAAATGAGTGTTATTGTTCACCCATAGCTCTCTTTAGAAAATTATCTATGACAATTTTCAGCATAGGATTAGAAATGCAAATATTGGCAATTGTTTTTTTCAAACACTGACAGCACTATCAATGACACAAGATTACCTTGAAGTTGACCTGAAGCTTGCATGGTCTTGTATGTCAGATGGGTTGAGCATCAGTTAATTTCAATTAAATAATTGTTATGTGTATTTTCTCATGAAATTTCAAATAGTTTTCCAGAGAATCCAGCATTCAATCTGGCCTGTGATGAGTTGAAAATCGAAGACATAAGGTTGTCATTAAAAATGCTTGCGGCCAAACGATATAACAATAGTGTTAAGATCTTGTTTAATACCTTCTTTCTTTCTTTCTCAATTGCCTTGAACTGCTCATAACACTCCTCTAGCTTAAGATGAAGTTCATTGGAGGGTCCACTTCTCCTGTGAATGTGAAAATGTGTGCTGAACTTGATAAAACCACAGTTAAAATTTCATCAGCAATACTTTCACATGTGAGTAAGTAAACATACAATTGTAAACCATGGAAATAGCATCATGCAAGCGTAAGTGAGATAGTTTCAGTAAATTGTGTGATTGTAAATGGACCTGTCTAAATCTATTCATGAATAATTGCAATACATATCAACACTGCCATATTTCACTGATTCTAAAACTGTTTACAACATTATTTAAAACGCAAACATGGTATAACATGCTAAAGTAATTGGCCTTTTCTTATTCTAATTGTGGAAACATACCTGAAAGAACGCATTCCTTGAAAGAAGCCAGGATGGAGGCCTAAGACATATTGTGGGAAGTCAGGGTAGAGCATTTCGGGGATGAATCCAGGTGCAATTCTGGGCAAAGGTTCAATTGGAAAGTAGTCAAATGCTTCAGCAGGCAAGGCACCATGGGAAGGACTGAAGAGAGGGTGGGGAGGATAGTGGAGGAGATGCTGATGATGAGACAGGGAGTGTCGGAGACCTTGATCATGGAGGAGACATTCTTCAAGGAACTTCTGTTTGTCAACTTGGTCATGGTCAAAGGCAAAGGGGAGTAACTCTGGAGAAATGTGATCAAGATTGCCGAGTGCAGGGTGGTGGGTCTCTCTACCAACCTGGTCAGCAGACCAGCGGTCATAGTTTGGAGAGGAGAACATATCATGTGGTAATCCTTTCATTTTTCGATTGTAGAAACCATGAGGAATAAAATTCTGCAATCCATGTTTCTCTCTGCTGAGAGGAGTAGATGAGCTGATTGGCACATAATCCTTTTTCAGGTTCTGCATTTTGTTCAGGAAATGGCCAGGTACCTGAATATTGCCACTGGAGGTGTCTGACTGATGCTGTGGTCTTTCTTGGGGAACATTTCCTTCCCCTGGTGAACTAGGAGTACTAGGGTCAGACAGACTGTAGTTACTTTGATAACTGACTGGAGTATGTGTATTAACATGAATAGGGTGCATAAAATCATTGTCATGCTGCATATGTTGCTGGGAAGAGTGCTGGTGTTTCAAGGCTGCTGCATTGTGAGAATTGAAGTTAGATGATGGCAAATAGTTGAACATCTGCTTCTCAACATCTGGAGGTTGATCGTCAGTCTTGCTTGGGGTTGTCTGGAATGTCTTGTTTTTCTTGAAGCTGAAGGGCTCACTTCCGCCTGGATATGTTTGTTTTGCTGCATTGACATGCTGAGCCACAGCACTTTGAAAGGCGCTTTGAGCCATACTGTGTTCCTGAGAATGGTGAATCTTTGGTGAAGTGTCATGGGCTGATGAAGTAAAAGCAGAACTGATTGCTGGCTGTGAAGGAAAAGGTTTTAACTTTAAGTGATTCTGGAATGTGGCAAAATTCTGTGGTGAGGACATTTCGTTGAACATATCATTGTTCATGTGTTGATAAGACCTGTCCAATTTTTGCTTTCCACTATATTCAGATTGAGCTTGAAATTGTTGGGGAAAGGAGTTTTCATTGATCTGGCCACTGGGAAGTCGGGATGCCTCCTTAGCATTAAAACCCTGTGAAAAAAAGTGATCTGATGTGTCTGAAACATGCGAAGAGGAAAAGCTGTTTTCATCCCATAAATTTTGAGTCATGTTAGAAGCATGCTCAAAACTTCCATACGACGTGGAGTTTTTATCTGACTTTCCAGAAGGTGTACCCTCGCTGCCGGTTGACCACACACTTCCAGATGCAAAACCTGGTGAACTGAAACAGAAACATTATTCTCAAAGCAATGTATATTATTGATATCAGCATGAAGGAAACAATATCTCCTGAGCTTAGGTGGGATTTTGGCCAAGAAGCATTTCCCCACACAATTTATTAGGTCCTGATTTGGGCTGTGTCTTGCCTTGAAGTTTGCATTGCAAAATGCAATGATCCTTTGTGATATGTATAATGTATTGTAATACATTGCAACATATTGTCATTAATATTGTTTCAGGCATGTAAATCAATGATAATTGAGTGGGTGAGTGATTGAGTGAATTGGTTTCAACTCTGCTTATAGCAGGGGAGTCAGCTAACTTTCTGAGGAAAGACGGAAGTGATACAAGACAGGGATGTTTACCACTTCTGTGAAACCCATGAGTACCAGTATGGTGCTGACAAACCTAGAAACACTAGTCAGGTAGAACTGGGATCCAAGCCCAATTCCATTATGATCATATGTTTCTGACGTGCCCATGGGACAATTCTGCAAAGTGAATTGCACCTCCTTGGAGTAGCTGGTCACCAATGACCTCTCAAAGACCTAAGACTTCTTGTTTTTCAGGCACATTCTGTGCACATCTATATTGCAGTCTGACAATGATTACCTGGACCAGAGAAACCAGGTATAAATCTTATTTTCAGTGTACCACCATGTCAGGCTATGATGACACACCATCAACTAAGTCAACAATCCTGACCACCTGATTCTGATAAACCAACATTACACAAGTTCTGATCAACTTTTGTAATTCTTTAAACATTCTTTCAATATTTTTAACTTCTTAGGGTAATGACCAAAAGGACCCTTTTACTTTCATTCATTATTTTGCTGATGCTGGTTGTAGAATGCTGTAGGCTATTCTGACTGGTGGCCATATAAATCCATTATCAGTTAGTTATATGTAGTGGTGGTACGATTAATGGAAATAATCGAAGATTGGTCGCAGTGACTAGACGACCAAGCAATCGAACATGTTTTCTCATAATCGAACACCAAAAAATCTGGAACACTTGTTTGCATTAACAACATTTTTCACCAGGTTGGTTTTGTCGGTGTCATTAAATTTACATTTCATAAGCACTAGAGCTCGTTCCAAGTCATGATTGAATTTATCTAAAAAGACTTCAGGAAAATCATGTTCCTAACATACTAGTCCTCCTTTATAGATGTGACATTTGCAAATGCATTTTGTGCAATTTGAAAAGAGACCTCAAAGAACTTCATGTTTTTTCTTTATTTTGTGTGTGCATTAACAAAGATAACAGGAACATTTGATAAATTATTCTAAACAAATATTTTCAATGATTGTTCGGTTGTCATGGACCAATCATCAATCATGAGATTTTAACCAATTCCCAACACTAGTTATATGCTGTATATGTTTCCTATGGTCAAGGAAAGATAAATTTGAGGCTGGATGGTGCTACACACTTTAGCACACCCTTGGGCAATATCAGTAAAGCAAACTAATTTTTAACCAGATTTACTGAGCTTTTTGGCACAACCAGTAAAAGCTATACCAAATGCATGTTGAAAGACTTACCCATCAAAGGAAAAGACATCTGAGGTGGCCTGTGACTGAGTTTCTTCATTAAACTCTCCAAAGAGGCTGGTTGAGAAAAGGGATGAATCATCATCAACTATCTTGTTGACAAGGTCATCAAAAGCTGAAAGTTTGTCGTTAGAGCAACTGTTGAGTCCCATATTTTGATGATCCGGGAAAGCAAAGGAAAATGGTGATGCATGGTCAGGTTCAAGTTTTTGTGCATTTTTGGAACTGTATGTCATGTGACTCCATTCAGGATAGGCAGTCTGCTGTGTATCTGAGGACACCAGCTGTGAGCCTGTCTGCATTGAGTTTGAATGAGGGAAAGGCTGGAATGTAGCAATCTGTAATGAAAAAAAAAGACATACACTAAAATGCAATAAAGCTATACACATGATACATGAATACTGTTAGAAAATCAACAATACTTTTAGAAACATTGAAAGAATAGGATTCATCATAACTACCGGTACTAATACCTGAAAGCAAACTTTCAAAATTAATCCTGCTCATTTGCCTTGACCTTGCAAAGTGTGTGTTTGCATGTCAATAATATAAACTGATTCTGTTATGACATTTGTCGTGACATCTTCAAAGTGCTCTGTAAAAAATATTTTATCATTATGTTATTAAATATGTTTGGGAAAATGTTATAAACTGAGGCTGAGTATTGGCTAATAAATTCAATTGCAATATATTGCAATATTGGTATCTGCATTCAGTGTCTATTTTACTATTAAGATGAAGTTGGCCCTGGGCCCATGGGTAATGAAACTATAGTACTCTTCGAAATAGAAAAAAACTGTTTTTAGGCTGTTACTCTTTATCCCTAAAATTTACACAATTGCAAATAGCATATGTCGAAATAACCCACTTCGGCCTAACTGGGCGTTCAGTGGGATGCGTATTACGATAGCCAGAAAAGCATGTTTAATTGTAAAATCGGGCAAAACGTAGAAAAAATACGAATAGCTGCTGAAAACAATAGATCAGACTATAGATGGCAATTAGGTCGCTCAGCCAGGTATGACAACGGACCGTCGACTCACCTGGCATGAAATGCACGTGCTGCCGGCAGGCACAAGGGGTCATCTCAAAGATATTTTGTGCTGTTTCATGTGTGTTGACTATGTCTCATCTAGTGATTAACATCTTTCGTGTCTTTCTTTCATAAAGTTTATGTTGAGATATGTAAAAGAATATGATACCCGAAAACCATAGAAACGCATCGTAGTATATAGGTGGCATGACCACCCGAAGATCGACAGGACTGGATATTAATTGTAAATTGTTATGACATGCCGTGTACCTCCCCAGTATAATTGCCCAAAAGGATTATCTTATCTTAGCTGATATCTCTCTCCCCCAGCCCGACCCCAACGATCGTCTATGACACCCGTCCAGGTTTTGCTTTTGAGACGAACCCTCGGTTGTATTGTTAGTGATATTTCATTTTTATACAATTCATCGTGTGTAAAGTATGCCAATTAATTACAAAGGTAAACATCAGAGGCTAATGTAAGTGAGCAGATTTAAACTTTCACCATACTGATAATGAAAAACCAATCATAATTTCTTGGACAATATACCAGTTCTCAGAAAAAAATATTGCAATATGTATCATCTAAAAAGCATATCACGGTCGACTGGTAATACTGTAGAGTCACTCCTGTCATAATCTGCAATTGTCTGTTTATAGACTAATGGTTGCATAAGGCGATTTCAACGTGCACAAGTGAAGTTTTATCAGTGGCAAAGGGCATATACACTGACATAGGTGTTAGAAGGTACAACATACACCATTAAGTGGTGGTATCTTCGCAGATTTTTTCAAGCGTTTTAACCCACTGAAATCAGTTGATTGAACCCCAACAGTGGACACCTACCTGGCCATTTTTATATCCTGGTGCCAAATTCTTGAACTGCTCCTTTGACCCACCTAACTCCACCCTTTCCTGGTATGTATCCAGATCAAACGTGTTGGGTTCAAAAGGCTTTGCTCCAGGGTTGTACCTGCCAGGCTGTCAAGAAATATAAGAAATCCTATCAATTCTGAAAGCAAACCCATTATTCTATAACACATAGCCATTCTTTCCTAATGAACATGAATCTTCTTAGAAAGCACAGAACATGGAGAATATTTAATGTTTTTTTTACTAAATTAATCTGGGGAACACTTTGATCCTAGGGAATATTTGCTTTTAACATTGGAAATTTATTGGAATTTAACATCAGCCTGAGGGAATAAAATAAAGCATAAGCTAATAATGTGCTTGTTGAAAACATCCCATATAGATAGCAACAAGTGATACTGTGTGTCTACATGGGATCTTAAGGTGTACCATGCATAATAATGGAATCTGTACCAGGAAAATCAGAGAATGACAACATGATGCATAACGTTCGACAAGTACTTACAAACGCCTGTTTAGGCCAAGATAATAATTTAACTTCAAAACAATTAAACTTTACATTGAAAGTAACTTTGAACACTGACTAAAAAAATTGTTTTTCCATAAACTGAGTACATTTACTTCTTAAGTTTTACCTTGTCACATTTAAGTTTATGGCAGATGCACTGATAAAAATGACAACCATAAAAATATTTCAAATAAATATTGTGAACAGATTACATAAAATGAAACTTGTTTCACTGAAGAGGTATGCATTATCACAAAGCATATGCCAAAACGACAATGGCAAACACTGCACAGTAAGTTTTAATTCTTATCTTTGCAGTATAACAAAAAATCAGTTCATACCTTTTGAACTGATCAAAAATGCACATTTGATCATAGTTTCACTTAAGTCGTGTCATCGAATGGGGGTGGGTGGGGGGTTCAGACGATTCACAGAATTGATCAATTTGAAATAAAATTGGCAGAAATCTGTGGATCAGCGGAAAATTGCCATAACTGTAAAGTAGGCTGTAATTTCTAAACCTTACAGAAATAACATGGACAAAAATGCCAATAACTGGCAGATGGACAGGTAGAATTTATCAAAACTTTATAAAATGTGGGTGACGCCAATTTAGGATGGCTAAAGACGTAATTGGCTGTACTGAAAAAACAGACCATTCTGATGTGCAAATGTTACACCAAAAATGAAACAAATGCCTGATTTGGCCACCTAATAGCTGGAATATTGCTGAGTGTGGTGCAAACAACAAACAAAGGAAAAAACCTAATAGCTGTTTCTGATCTGCATGAATGAGCTTTCACCGTCTTTTGTATACCACTCAGTAGTGTTACCCATATGCACATAAATCGGGTCCAAATCTGCGTGAATACAAATAATATTACATAAAGTAACACCCTGGATAAAGAACAGAAGTACCTCTCAGTTTCATTCAAAAACTGTTTTACCTTTCTATTATAGACCTTGCCTTTTCACTTTTAAAAATCCACTCATATCTTGCTATGAAGGACGGTTAACGCAATGCTGAAGAATATGTCAATATCAAACAGCTGACGGGCATGGGCCTCATGCTGAAAGGTGGTTATATTTAGACCGGTTCACTCTCTATCAGTATAGATGCTGAACATAATCTTATGCGAAATTAATTAAGAGGACCAAGTGTCAGTGCTGAAAACCGACAATATACGTGTTGTCACGAAAACAAAGACACTCCTGAAGAGTAATTCGGTCGGTGGCATTTGCAGTGTGTACCGGAGTTGCTACAACACCTAGCGTCCGCTATGGCGACCAGCTTCACGTGCAACTCAGCAGAAGTCACTATGTTTTGAAAACGGTTTCGTCCATATTGTTTGTAACCGCTGGACTCGTATAGAGGCATGCATCCCAAATCACATGAACAATTTCTTTCCTCAGATTTTTCTTTCCATACGAAATACCTGCATTTCTCGTTTGGGATGGCGCCATTTCTTAGATTTTTCAATCGGGTCATCTGGAATATTCACAATAACAATCGTACGTGAGCCGTTACTGGAGACTCAAATAGACTCACCACTGCAAAGACACAATGCGTGAAACAATTACTTATATGTCTAAATGACATGTCTTTCACTCGATTGATGAAACAACGCCGAGGAGCACATGTAAATATTTCTCACGTTGACGTATGGAATGCAGGCGAACGATCGAGCCCATCGACATCAACACTTGGTATGTTGACATCGGACGTGAATATACTGCGGCTTCTAAATAATTTGACAACCACAAAACTGGATGAAATATGCACAGTTGGATTACCTGCTGCTTAAGCTGGTTATTTCCAGCCGACCTCATCAATCTTATCCTGGTATTTTCATATTTTTCGCTCTCATTCAGCTGGACCGAGAGCGCCATTGACGTTCATTTTGCTGTATGCTAATCGGATGTTTTCATACTATTTTCCACACGACACATTCAATTGAAACCAAAAGCGCTGTCTGTTGATTCTTGCAGTGACAGTTGAAGCTCAAGTATCAACCTGTGATAAGCAAACAGGATTAAACACAGCTTAAGTAAACAACACGATACGGGAGTATTGCAAAATTATAACTGCTGTCTTTAGATACAACTAATACTGTATATATCTGAACGGATCTTACAAAATGAAATGTTTGGAGATATTCAGTGTTGATTGCCACAGAAAAGAAATTACTTGGAAAAAAATAAAATATACGGGGTTTTTTTCAAACCAAATGGCGAAAAAGTGAATCTGCAGGCGCGTACGGTAACAGGTGTGGTAAGTGAATGGCAATATTTATTTCCAGACCGGAGATCCCAAGTGTGTATTGATGGAATAACCCGAGAAAAGCGGGACGGCCCGTGGGTTACTGATTGCCTTCTAATCTTATCACAAAAGTATGTCATGAAAAAGAGGACGCTTGGTTTCCACCCTTGCACGATCTACACGATCCAATCACGCCCTAGGTGACACAAGCGTGCGTGCTGGATTTAAACGAGCAAGTTACAATCAGCTGGTGTACGTATTCATGAAATTATACTGTATTACGCCTGTAACGCAACATTAAAAACACATAAACATCACTTTTAGTATTCGTTTGTTATTTCCAGGATCAGGATCCATATGTGTAGTAATAGTTCCGGTCACATGAAAACATCGAAGATTGATCGGGTGGTCCAAACGACCAAGCAATTGAAAGCAATTTCTATAATTGAGTTCAGACAATTTTGCCTCTTTCTGAAGTTTTTAACTGCTTTAATCTAGTAACAAGGTATATTTAAAACTTAGCATTAAGACAAAAAGGGTGAATTTTATACATAAAAATATTACAGCTTTGGGCTGAAAACATGTGGGAAGGAGGAGAGGGGTAATTGATTTTGTACATGATATGCAAGGGTGGGTCATTTATTTGTACGTGAATTTTAAGAGGGGGGGTATTCACATTGTACATGCTTCTGCATAAAAATCATCATCAAATCCATCATGAATCTGTAAATTGTAGACGATGAGCTTGTAGCCCAAGTATTCTTTTTCAATAAACTTCTGTTCATTAATGTTAATTAACAAGATTCGCTCAGAAACCCAACCCATCAAGTGAGTTGGGTTTGTTTTTTTGCCGCTTTCAGCAATAGCTCATGAGTGAGGTGAGGGAATCGAACCCGGATCCTTAACCAGGCGCGTAGCAAGCCATTTTTTCGTGTAAGCCCGATAGGTTGCAAAGCTTTGTATTTAAATAGCTACGCCCCTGATGGCGTGACGAGCGGACGCCTGAACCACTGGGCTGCCCCACCGCACAATAGTTCATGAATATCACGACGAGGGATACCAGGAACGGGTATTACATAATGTTCCCATTACATGCATGTTGTTATATTGACTGAATAAATATATTGTCACACTCTGTTTTAATTGGTTTGTTAATTTCGAGAACACTGGGAGTGAAGTCACCCTTGTAGAACATCACCTCCCTTTTCCCGGACTTTCGACAAGTAATTTGGACGGATTATTTCTTGTTGTCGACAGTCCGGGCATAAACCATGAGAATCGACCCACACCCCACACCCCACATCCCACGACCCACGACCGACACCCCACACCCCACGACCCACGCCAGACACCCCACCCCCCAATCAGTTACAGTCAGTCTTATGTCACAACCAGCATGAAGAGTTTATTTGGTAATTTTAGATTAATCCATGTAATGCGTTAACTGAATGTTTATCAAAAGCTGTAGACGAAATAATGGTACCAGTCTCGGGGAGAGCACAAACTAAAAATAAGGCACGAGGTGACAGAAAGGTGTACAAGGTGGATATATAGAAATACCCGTCAAAACACAACGATCTATCTACGTAGACTCTTCATTGTGTGAGAAATCATTTCACATATCGTTAAAACAACTAATTTCTGATACACATACCGACAGTTTGTCCATAGAGTGCTTGGGGTTCACCTGTCGCTTTATATAACTGCGATTAGTTGTCCAACAAGGTGTATCGAGTAATCCGCTGTTCTCTTTAACCCCCTGTTTAAATATTCATCATGAATAGCATTATTGATCGCATTACTTAAGTCTTTTAAACCGAAAGTCGATAGATTTTAAGACGTGTCGATTTATTGATGTATTGGTTATGCATGTAGTGTATGTTTTTTTAAAGGGTTGCATATACTTACATTGTGATTTGAAATTGACCATATGTATAGCCATTCGAAAAAACCCAGAAAAGTACAGAACATAATATTATTTTCTTTCTCCAGGAACAATAGACCGCACCATTAAATAAAAATACGAACATTTTGTTGCTTTTGCTAAATCATATGATTCAATCTGTTTTATCAACATAAAAAATGTACATAGGTCAGATTTATTTGGTTTTTTTTCTACATTTCGATCGCACGTAATGATTATCTGTTTTACATAGTACTTATGGATAAACAATGAACGAAGATTAAAACATATTAACGTCGACACTTCTTGCTCCGTGTACTGTTATGGGTGAGATTAGACTTTGAAAATATACAGTTTTGACAGAAACAAAGAACTGCAACTTGAAATGATAGTGAGCAACAGTGAGGTGGGTGATTCAGAACCCGAGGAACACCCAGACTTATACTTCTTAATATTTACGTTCAGGGACCCAGTCACTGTGAGACAAACTAGGGCCCCATATCTGTGCGCGCTGATTTCAACCAAGTGGGAAACTATGTCCCGTTCCCGAGGAACCTTACCCATCTTTTATCATAAACTGTCACACCATCATATGACGAAAATACAGTACATTGTATATACCTCACTCACTCACTAACAGAGAGTGGGTTGGGTTTTACGTCGCTCTTAGTAATATTTCAGTAACCCCACGGCGGGGGACACCAGAAGTGGATTTCACACATTGCACCCATGTGGGAATCGAACCCTGGACTTCGGTGGGACGAACGAACGCTGTAACCATTATGCTACCCCCACTGACAAGAAACGTCAATCTGATCAATAGTAGCTATATCAGCATGGTTGTCTAGCACGACCGCCTTTAATGAACCACTGCAAGGTGAACGGCCACACCTCGCAAAAGAGTTATTAATTGTAGTTATCATGTTGACTCATCGATATTTTCTAGTCAGTGTTTCATGCTCTTTGGTCTGTGCAAGTATATGTTGTATAGTATCGAAACTTTTGTCCCTTAAAAGAGACGGAGCACGTTATTAGGTGTGTGTTATGGTAACATGCATGATATCGACCATAGTATGCACTGGAGTCATCTGTTGGGAGTTGGTACAGGCTGCTCACTCTAATGAATCTGTACCCTGTACACTCTAATGAATCTGTACTCTGTACACTCTAATGAATCTGTACCCTGTACACTCTAATGAATCTGTACACTCTAATGAATCTGTAACCTGTACACTCTAATGAATCTGTAACCTGTACACTCTAATGAATCTGTACCCTGTACGCTCTAATGAATCTGTAACCTGTACACTCTAATGAATCTGTACCCTGTACACTCTAATGAATCTGTACCCTGTACACTCTAATGAATCTGTACACTCTAATGAATCTGTACCCTGTACACTCTAATGAATCTGTAACCTGTACACTCTAATGAATCTGTACACTCTAATGAATCTGTAACCTGTACACTCTAATGAATCTGTACCCTGTACACTCTAATGAATCTGTACTCTGTACACTCTAATGAATCTGTACCCTGTACACTCTAATGAATCTGTACACTCTAATGAATCTGTAACCTGTACACTCTAATGAATCTGTACACACTCTAATGAATCTGTACCTGTACGCTCTAATGAATCTGTAACCTGTACACTCTAATGAATCTGTACCCTGTACACTCTAATGAATCTGTACCCTGTACACTCTAATGAATCTACTCTGTACACTCTAATGAATCTGTACCCTGTACACTCTAATGAATCTAGACCTATACTGGATCACATGTACAGTCGAACTATCTCGTGCTACCCACCCATCTGATAGTGGATGTCAGGTTTGAGTTTGCGTCACATCGGCATTATTCCAGCCATACTAGTGACGAGATCAAGTCTGCATTCATAAACATTTAGTACAAAGTCCAAATGAGTTCGCTCGTCAAGCCGAAGACCCGGGTTCGATTCCTCACATGGGCACAATGTCCATTCTGGTGTTCCTCGTCGTGATATTGCTGGAATATTGCTAAAAGCGGCGTAAAGCCCTACTCACTCACTTGTGCGTCTGGATATCTTTAGTCCGGATAAGCGGGGTTCCACTGTACAGAAAGCTATATCCCGGCTATGAGTGACACAGTGAGTCAGGTTATACACAGTGGACGACTGAGTGATCGTAGCTGGAGTACGCCCCTTGTGAGATAGATCCTAGTTAACAAGTAAGCACGGGTTTTGTTACAGACAAAGTAGGCTATCACAATTGGGCGATTCTGAAATTCCAACCCATAACGTACAGATCCTGTTACTATTAAGGGAAGCAACTCTTCAGAGCGAGACGAAAACCCGATGGGCGCAAATAGGCCTCTTATTGGCCCACGTCGCCCTAAAACTATAAAACCAACGAAAACCCGAATGGGCGGGAAGTTGACACTGATAATATTGCTGTTGTAATGTAGCTTCTTGTTCCAACTGTCATGACGATAGCTTAGGTATATGGATGATGTACGAGTTCGTATCAGATATGTAAATGTCCTTCAACAGCCGCCCAAAAGAAAATACTCTTTAAACACTGGATTTTACCAATTTCGGAGGAAAATTGTGGAAATCTTTATGTTTGACAATGACATATAGAATGGTAGAGACATGGAGAGACATGCATGTTGAAACGGGTATTTCTAGAAAGGGAGTGTTTAGAGCGTTTCTGTAATCTTTACACTGGGCATTTGAGATTCTTAAAAACAAGCCAAATAGTTAATTCACACTTTGGTTTTTTGTAGGTTTGTTTTGGCCTGGCATTTAAATTACACAAATCCCCGAGCTGTGTGATCAGACGTTCCGAGGTAGTACCGACTCTGCGTGGTCCCAGCAAACGACGCCTCGGCGAGTGACTATAACCTTATCGGCAGTTCTAGACTCGACTGTACGTGCGGTTGAACATGCGCGACTGTACACGTGTGACGAAGGACAGAACAAAGGCGGCACCTGTAGGCCACTTAAAGGGAGGATGAGAAAGCGTGCATTTCAAGAAACACCATCTTCTCGCGATGTTAACGCAATATGGTCGACTCACTGAGTGGTTTAGCGCCGCTTCGACCACTATTTCGATTACGCTACCGATCAAACGAAATTATGCACTTTTAATAATATGGTTTGCATCAATAGGTAAAGAGGTAAAAAGAAATCTAACGGCAACTCAAAGATGTACTTCCCTATCAAGAGAGGCATACAATAGGTTGCTCAAATATTTTTTAAAGCGGCGTAAAAATGCTCACTCACTGACATGATGTCACTGAAATTCTTCATTAGCCGTGGCGGTATAAAAATATATACGAATCTTCATATTTTTACATTGTATTATGTATTTGTGGAATAATTATAGGCTGACGGGCCGGGTTGGTAAAGTAGGTAACAGAAACGTATATCGCCTGCGACATGATGAGCATGTTACAGAGACTGCAACAATCGGCGAACGCATGTTACATCCCTGGTATGTGTTTCACGAGAGGTGTTCCGCTGCTAAACATGCGCTTAGGGAGACTGTGATCTGGTGCAGGCAAAGACAAACACTAGATAAAGGGACGGAAACAATGAGTTGAATGTACACCCACTGCAAACAACTTCACAGGTAACGTGCAGCACGGGCCAATTTATCTAACCTCAACATCCATTCAACCAATTCGACAGCGTCCTTCAAACCTTATACCTTGCAGTTGTACTGTTTCAGATGCATGTTATGTAGAATGTAGTAAATGTGAACGTTAACAGATATAACATAATGAATAGCAATTAAATATAACCAAATTACCATGAAGGGTCGGATTGGCAAACCGATATTATTGTGTTTAACGTAGATAAACAAACAAGTGCATGTCATACAGGACTCGAGACACTTAACATGAATAACAAAACCCCTCTCAATAAAGACATGCCACGTAATGCGGACATCTGCCTATCTGTCGAATTATTTGGGTTTATGTACAATTAAGGTATTAAAGCATTTATATTTTTGGTAAATTACTAATAATTCGTTTTGGGTTATTAATCAGATACTGCAATGCTGTGTACCGTTTTGTGGGTGTTTAAGCGAAGACAGGTATGTACTTGATCTCATTCATAGTTGACAGCAAGTTATATATTGGCATGTTAAAGGATATGTCATATTTGGTGTGTTAGGTAGGCAATTCCTTCGAGGTGCCGCCACGTCGTCATATGAGCGAAATATTCTCAAGCACGACGTTAAACCCAATTTCACCTCACCTCACCTCAAGGTGCCGCGTTTCGCAGTGGAGGGTTGGGTGCCTGAAACAACTGATCGTGAGTTCGATTCTCAAAGTGTGTCTAGGTTTGTCAGCAGGTCACATCGTCGTGGGTTTCAATTTCACCCAAGTGGTAATTGTATGAGACCTGCATCACTTCGGAATTTCCTGTCATATAAAAATTGACTCTCCCTTATGTAACCGATATACTGTTCAAAGAGACATTTAACCAGTTTGCTGTTGATATTAATTTGTAAGTCAGTTATTAACCCCTGGCACTTCTCAGAAGCCGCTTTCTTAAACATGTATTTGATATGACATTTAAAGGGTATTTAATAACAATTATAGCGGCTATAACAGTTGCCTCCTTCTCTGTGAGTGGACTGTTTTTGTGTTTGGAAACGTAACGCGACTTCGACTTACCTGGTTTGGGATAGTATTTGGAATGAAGTATTTTTAACAGGTTATTGAATTACATGACGGAAGCATGTTTCATGGGTAATTTTGTTATATTTCATTGCTATTCATTACGTAATACCTCCTAATGTTTGTATTTACTCTACTCAAACTCCATCTGAAATAATACACCTTTGTGCATGGCAAAAATTCGTTCACGAAACAAACTAAGATGTATCCGCAATCTGTTTGATTGATTTCAAATTCAGAATGGTCCTTTTTGACCAGAGCGTTATGTAAGTTTTAAGTTGAGGACGTAGCCTCTTGTTAAATCTATGATGTACCTCGTTTACCCACTAGCTCCCTTGAAGCGAATTAATTTCTTTGCAAACTGGGACGGTAGCCTGGTGGTTAAAGCGTTCGCTGGTCATACCAAAGACTCCCCACATGGGTACAATGTGTAAAGCCTAATTATGGGCATTATTGCTGTCGCCCAATCGTGATATTACTGAAACTTTGCTGAAAGTTGCTAAAATTCTGCAACTACATTTATTAATCATTCATAGGCTGATCCAGCGTGTGTGTGTGCGCGCGTGTGCGTGTGAACTAATGTTCAAAGGCAGATCAAACCAGGTCCCTCACACACTATTTGTGTGATAGGTTTCCAGCATGTGCACTGTCCATAGTGAATAATGTCGCCCAAAAGAAGACATCAATTAAACAAGGTCCAAATATACTCCTATTCGCTGTTGTCTGGTGAAGTGCTCAACTTTCGTGTTCAAGAATAAAAGCAATCCGTTGAGATTCCAATCAGATATGTCTGACCTAGTGATTTGCTCCAGCCCCAATCAGCAATGTTCCAGCTCTAGTATGATGCATGATGACAGATGTAATCTAATACTCAAAAACAAGTATGCTAAGGATGTATAATTGGTTTCGCGTTAAGGTATTTCCAGCTTTTGCTTTTTCAATTATTTCTCATGCATTTCTTTTCAAAGACAAAACGTAATTCTGAAGTTAAAATTAAAAACAAGGAATTTTGCAGATTGCTTTGTAATCAGTTTTGGAAATATGAAATACATTTTCTCTCCATAAGCTTCAAGATGCTAATGGTTAACTTAGTTTCAAGTTAATTAGTTCTGGAAATGAACACTATCAAACAGTCTGTATCATTTGATCTTCTCTTTCACAGAACTGCCAAAAATACATCACCTTGAGAAATATTCTAGGTTTTAGTAGATCTAATTCAGGATCTTGTTTCCATGGAATTTCCAAAAAAGAAAAGAAAACAATAAAAAGCATCAAACCTTTGACGATTTTGTTGTGTGTTGCCATGTATATGTGAACCCTTGGAGTGTTGTTATCCCAAGCTATTTGTTAGTTTCTCAACTAATGACATCAGTTCACTTGTACATGTCATACTTCACAGTGGTGGATGATGAGGCTAGAACACTTTGCAAGCAGCGTTATGTTGAAATACTCACAACATTTATATATTTTTATTTCACAATACATCTTAAAAGACTAAAGTGTGATAGGTGAAATACAATGTATATCAACAAAGCGACATTTCCATTGCTTAACAGCATAAATAACTCACAACAATAACCATGGTAGACAACTAAATCACCAGCTTGCAAAGACTGGAATAAGAAGCAAACTGGACTTAGGCTTTTCATTTCAAAATTCCCAACCAGTATATTCCCCGAGTCCACAGACATTATGATTTTGACTTTCTGCTGGTGCCAGGCTTTGGCTTCTTTGGCTCAGCATACTTGGCTTCAAGCTGGGCGAAGAAGTCGTCTGCTGAAGCACCCCGTGATGCATGTCTCTTCTGAATCATAGCCTTTAGGGAGTCTGTTTCTTTCATTCCAATTTCTTTCATGGCCTCCTTAGCCTCTTCAGCCTCAGCTTCAGCCTGTAAACATACGATCAAGGCTTCAACGATGGAAAAGAACAAATTTTGTGACTGATAAAATAATCTGACCAAAACAAACCACCCCTGCAGAACAAATGGGTGGTGTCTTGGTCCATGTCGTGTCATTTCAGGATACAAGTGTTAGTGCAACATTCATTGCTGTATACAAACAAGCTGCCAACAACAACCTACAAATATCGACCTGAACATTAACACTGAAACATTCACGGCATCATACGCTTCTAGCCTGCGTAGGAAAACCTCATTGTTCCAGTATCATATGTTATTATATGGGCTATTAATTTCTCAATAATAGAAAAAATTGAAATCTGACAACTGAACTGGTAGCCTGGATCAAGTACATTGTGTACCCCTTTCGTGGAAGCTAAGGCGTTATGTGCCAGCAATAGTTGCCTAACTCTGACAGTGTGGGTTCACAACCCTCCAAAAAGTACTTTACTGTGAAAATGTAAGCCAAAACATAACGTGTTACATTTGACCACTTTCTAAATAGCATTGTGTGTATTCACATTATTCATAGTATCAACCTATCTTTGCTTGAATAATTCCCCCCCATTGAGAAAATCAAACATATAGTATTAGTGTCAGTAGCCTAAGGCCCTATGTGTTATCAGCTGGTATATACAGCCAACTCACAGAACAATCTGAACTGTAAATACAGGAAGTGAACAAAACAGAGTTTGACAAAGCCCGAACTCACTTTCTTTACTGAGCATTGTTGATGTTCATCCCGGGAACTTGTAAGTGATATGATTTAATAGGTGTTTACAAAAGACCAATACCACTTTATAAATAGCTCCTAAAACTAGAGATCTTGACATAAAATCTAGACTGATGAAGTGGTTGATCTGGCAAATCTGTATATGTTTATACAAAGATCATACTATCTGCTAAAACTACAGTGGCAAACTATTGACTAAGAACACTACTATTCTTGTTTATTTTCACTTATCAATGGAAAGTTCATTCAGATATTAAAAAGTGTTTTTTCAAAACAAAAGAAATCAAATTCCTTATAAGCTCACTAAGCTCACAAACCTCTTTCCTCCTCTTTGACTTCTTTGTCTTAGATTCTCTACTAAAGGCCTTGAAATCTGGCACTTCATTCTTCTTGATGAGCTCTTTGAGTATTTTGCCAAATCTTTCTTCATCATCAATGGTAGCACACAACACACTCTCAAGGATCTGGTCCATGTCTCCCTCAGACTCCAGATAGGCTGCCTTCAGGTCCTTCAGTTCCTCCTTAGATCCTGCACAACAAGGAAGCAGTGAATGGATTCTGTTGTCTTAGTCAGCTACAAACTAAACAAATGTTTTCTCATACAATACTGACTGACAGTGACTATGCTTTTTACGCTGTTTCTAGCAATATCATCCCAGGGGACACCAGAAATAGGTTTCCCACATGGGTACACCATGTGGGTAATCAAACCTGGGTCTTTGGCCTAGTGAGCGAACGCTTGAACCACTTGGCTACCCCACCTCCCCCATACAATACTGAAATGGTGGAAATAAAATGGAGAAAACAAAACATGCTTGTGATCATTATTACATAGGCCTGTATCATTGGTCCGTGGTAACAATACTTATATGTGTGCTTGTTGTTCAACTCTGCATCCAGCAATAATTCATCTGTATGAAGTGGTATGTAAACAATAAGGTCTGGAGCAGACGATCCAGTGATTGACATCATGAGTGAGTAAGGCTTTTACGTCGCTTTTTGCAATATTCCTGCAATATCACGGCGGGGGACACCAGAAATGGGCTTCACACATTGTACCCATGTGGGGGATTGACATCGTACACCTGAAACTGTGCATCTGCTCTATGGTGATGTGCATCAACCAAGTCGGAGAACCTGACCACCTGGTCCTGTTAGTCAAGCATGGGCTGCTGAAGACCACTTCATAGGGATTCATATAATTAACAAAGATCCATGCAAACAGAGATAGATCACACTCCATCAATCTTATCTCCTCCAGAGCTCCAGATAAGATTTAGCTCATGTGGGTACTGTACCCACTGTATTTTTTTTGAGTGGGTATTATGAATGTTGAGTGGGTATTTCATTTTCCGTTACCCACTGCTTTCAAATATGTGCGTATTTGAGTCATTTTACTCACCTAAGGTATGTTCTGCCTTATGTCATACCTAATCAAAACCAACTTAAATATAATGGAAATGATTTCATAAAAAATCACTCATCCTATACTGACAGTACAACACTTGTCCAATACTAACAGTACAACTTGATAGCAATCGATGTCTTTTTCATTACGCAAGCGATTTTTATAAATATATTTCGTACGCATTTGTTTTAAACTTTTTGCGTATCTAACATTTTTAATGCGTAATTGGTACGCAACAATTATTTTTCAATGCGTAATTGGAAATTTTCTATGCGTATTTTACCCGGATACGCAGCTTATCTGGGCCTCTGTCCTCCCATCTATATAGTGACCACTTACAACCAGCATATGCTGCTGGGGTAAAATTCTAAACTGTGACCCACTCCATGCCATGCTAGTACTATCGGATTATCAACAGGAATGTTAAATGATAAAATCAATATACATTTCATGAACTTGTCAACAAAGTAACAAAAGACCTAAAACTCTTTACCATTGTTTGTTGCTACTCATATCATCAGTGAATTGTCTTTTACAATTAACTTTTAGAGCAAATTACATGTACTCCTTGATATTATACACCATGTATTGTTTCATTTCACAGTATATTGCATAGAACCAATCTTTTACAGTGATTGCAATTCATACCTTTGTACTTTTTTTCATATTGCTCAATATCTTTGATGGATATCTTGGCAAAAAGCATTCTCCAGTACTCATACCAATCTTTGTCCTGTTCCACATCATTCTCCTCATCAATGTCCCCTGAAGATGAAACAAGCAAGGCATGAAGTGTTTACAAGATCAATCTAATGAGCTTAAAGGAAAGCCTGAAGTATTTATATGAAAGCTAAGAAATCTGTGAACCACAGTGAAACTTCTTATATATTCTAGTTATATCTATGCTAGACGTAGCATTAAAAAGTTGGTTATAAATGGCATTTGGAAAACATATAATTGTTATCTCAAAAATTGACTCGATTTATTAATCTAGTTTTAGTCACTGTAAAGACTGTCAAAAATCCTTCCGTGGGGCATGTACAAAGTATCTCTGGACCACGGGATAAATAGTTTACCAGTTTCATCATAAATTGCTCGCTTCTCTTTATCGGACAGAATGCTGTAGATCTTGCCGAGAGTCTGGAACTTTTTAGTGGCCTCACTCTTGTCTTCCTGCTTAACTCGGTCTGGGTGTACCTTTAGCGATAACTTATGGTAACCTTTCTTAACTGAAATAAAGGACAAAGTTTACACACATTATCAACAGATTCCATAAATACAAAATATGACATGTTAGATACGTCATCACTAAAGATAGCCTTAAATAAAATTAATTCACGCACAAAAAATACACAGCTGGGAACGATCTAATAAGTTAGTGACATGTTTTACAATCGCTACTAGCTATGAAATACATCAGGCTTAGGGTTAAAGATAGTGTTCTGGTTAGGTAACCACGAACATAACTCTGTCCACAAAAACGTGGGAGGAACGATCTGAATTCTTCCCTCCTCTTATTATTAAATTTTAATATTAGCCAAATATTTTACAAATAGTCGATCAACTTAGCATTCAACAAAAAGTTCCACCAGATAATATTGAAACAAGATTAGGTAGAAACCTAACTGTGTCCAACTGTACATACAAGACCCTCTCAACTCACGGCTACCTACACGCAAGGTATTTGTTTACATTCGCATTTGTGGATCACACTCGGCCGTCAGATTATAAGACATGGAGACGGTATCGTACGTACGTAATAGATCAACTTACTCTCTTGTAGGCTAGCAGTTTTTCTTACTTTCAGCACATCGTACAGATCTTCCGTGTCATACAGATCACGACACGACTCTAAAAGACCTGGCATTTTTCTTTGTCAGCAAAAACTATCTATCGTTTGGTAAAGCAGCGCTTTCGCGCGTTATTTCACGACATCTCTAATCGTAGAGAGTTACAGAGGGGGCACAACTTGGATTAGATTGGAGTGGCCTCCCTTTGATTGCTCGATTTGTTCAAGTTACCTAGTCTATATTTTATGTGCCGCTTCTTTCATTATGCTCTGTGGATTTGAGAAAAGAGTCGTGTAAATTTTGAATGTATATTTATTGGTAACTAAATCAGATCGTACTATTAGTTCTTTTTAGGCCAAGGTTAGAAACGTATGCAAATCAGCGCTAAAACCAATAATTTTGTCGAAAACAAACACATTATAGACCCGGTATTGTCCAAATGAACCATTCTTTGAATCTTCATATGATCCGTATTTGTCAAATCAATATGTGTATATATTTGGTTGTAGCTCTCAACAAACCGTTTGTTGTTGGGTACAGGCGCCATTTTGACATACCAACTTCAACCATCTTCGTCACGGCTCGAGCTCTCGAAAGGCTATCGAGGCTCTGTCACGATCTTTTCTCTCAGCCTGATGGCCGGGTGAAGTTGAAGCTTTGTTCCTTCCCTGTGTCATCAAAACATCGTGACTGATCCTACTGTCGAAGACGATGTATCATTGTACGTTTTTCTCTCTTTGATACCAACGTTTTGTAAAAAAGAATCACTGTAAATGTGATCAACGAGTTTCCCCATAAACAATGACGTGTCATGTCAGCTTGTCGAGTTTGTCCCTGAAGGTAAGTACTCGTGTATATACAAATATAATGAGACGACATTCTACCACTGACGCTAAACGCCTCATCAATGTAGTAATCGGAAAATATATTGCAAAAACAATTTGATTTTAATAAGCATGGGGTAATTCAGCAAATAACCTTTTTTAGGTCACATAATTGTGTCTGTGAAAAACATTATAAACATGATCGACACAAACGTTGTCTTAGTTGTCAGACTTGCAGGACCCCATTTTATAAAGTGTGGCCTCAAATTACGTGTTAAAAAGCTGCCAGCGAACATATGTATTCTAACGTTGTAGGAAAACATATGTGTTGTAAAATCTCAGGATAACGTCAGTGTTCTGAAGTTGAACGTGGCTGACAAGACTGCTTGTTGTGCATGGAAACACGGTCGTTGGGTGCACACAGTAAACAACATCAAAGCCCTTCACCCAGTGCAGAATACAACGTTGGTTGTGTCTGTTTGAGTGAACAATTCAAGGTGTGGGCGTTTCTGAGTATATTGTGAATTAGCCGTGTAATTCTATGTAGTGTTAATCTGGTTTTAGATCTTTGTTACTTCTAGTATCTTTAAATCGGATTTTAGATAATGCAGTTTTAAGTGTAATACACACACATGCATTGTTTAAATTACATGTGTATTTATTTTTTAAGAATATACATAAGGAACTCAGACTTTGGCTGCACCATGCATTGATTTTTAGATATGCACGTGCTACAATCAAAGGTGAACAGCATGTGCAACACGCATGTACCCGTCGTTATCAAGCATCGGTAAACTGCAAGCTCGCTGACATAAAACATCATTTGCATTCGTTGTTGATAAGCAAACTCAACTGATGACAACTGATAGCAATTTGCAAGAGATGCTGGTCGTGACCCATCTCGACTATCATCCGATTGGCCAGAGAACATCAGCAAACTAACGACTGCACCACCATGGGGGGAGGAGGAGACGCAATTCGATTAGACAGGGTTGTTGCATCACATTTTTATGGCCATCCTCTGAACACCAGGCCAATGTTCATGGACGTCATTGGTAGGCCAGATGGTGTACACGCCGTTGGTGATTTCTTACGTCAAGAGACCCTAGGTCTAGATCTCAATGCCATAGAGCATGTTTAGAACATTAAGGGTCTCACAATACGCCAGAGATCATCGTTCAGTACAAAATTTTGAACATGTATCAGAACAAACCATCCATCAAGACTGGAACGCAATAACCTCAACGTCTGTGAAAAGGAGGTGTAGATATGTAATTGCAGTGGGTGGAGGTCACACTAGGTATTGACATACTTATGTGATTTCTTGAGGACTGTAAGCCAGAATCTTGGCATGTTTGCTTCCATGAATAACATACAGGTTTTCGTTCTTTTGGGAATTTAGATTTGCCATTTAATTGTTCCTCGAGGGTCAGTTTATCCAGATAGTAAGTTAAATTGAGGTTGGATAAGTTTGCAATGGTTGATGGTAACATGGTGATGCTATGAAAAATACAATGATACTGTTGTACATTTTGGATGCATTTTTACGGGATTTGGTGTAAATCATTGTATTTTACGTTAACTCGGGTTTTGGTGTATGTAATTCTATATGTTGTTAACACATTTTTGGATGTGTGCAATGATATTTATTGTTAACTCGGCTTCAATTCCAAATACTGTTAACATATTGTATGTGTGCTTCGATAGATCAAACTCAGATTTGACGCATATGCGCTATACCAAAGTATGATGTTCACAAAACTTTGTCTTGCTCCTAATTCTCAATTACAGTATATATCTGTACACAATTCCACTACATCACTGAGTTCAACAGCCGATATTGGTGGAGGTCAAAACTGGAAATAAATCGCCAACTCTATGTAAACCAACAGAACAAAGTTAACCATCTGATCCGTAGAGAGAAGGTGCGATATTTCAATTCACAAATCACCAACGGTGAATCTAACTCTAAGAAACTGTTTGAGATCACATCGAGGCTATTGAATCAGAACTCTGACATAGTACTACCAGACACAGACTCAAATGAAGATCTATCTGTGACTTTTGGAAACTACTTTCGTGACAAGATTGACGCAATTCATGAAAAGCTAATGGAAGGCAACTCTGAATCTCCTGTACCACATCCGACGAGTGAACAGTACAAGGATTTAAACATCCTGTCTGACGTTATCCCTTTCATAGAGGATGGTGTGCATAAACTGATTAGACAAACGAACAACAAATGTTGTGAACTGGATCCCATTCCAACATCCCTTCTGGTCGAATGTATTGATGCTTTACTACCGTTCATTACCAGGCTGATAAATATGTCCTTGAAAACAGGAACTGTTCCAAGGTCATTCAAGAAAGCCATTGTCAGACCTCAACTGAAAAAGACAGGACTTGACAAGAATACACTGAAAAACTACGGGCCTGTTTCCAACTTGTCATTCTCATCTAAGCTCCAAGAAAAGACAGTAGCGTCACGGCTTGAAGATCATCTCTATAGGAATAACCTACATGAAGAATTTCAATCGGCATATAGGAGTGGCCACAGTACTGAAACAGCTTTGGTACGAGTGACCAATGACATCTTAGCAGTAGCAGATCAAGGGAAGATGTCGGTGCTGATTTTATTAGACTTGTCTTCAGCATTTGATTCTTGTATCAACACTTCAGGAGGAGCTTGGGATAAGAGACACAGCCATAGACTGGTTCAGATCGTATCTGTCAGAACGACGTCAGAGTGTTACCATCAACTCGTCAGAAACTCCATTTTATGAACTGAACACAGGTGTGCCACAAGAGTCAGTATTGGGCCCAATTGTGTTTACTCTTTATACACGATCTTTTGGTAACATTGCCAGAAGGTATGGTCTCAACCAACACCAATATGCGGACGACAATCAGCTTTATGCATGTTTCACCTCTGACAAGTCTCAAGAACATGCTTCTAAGATCAAAGACTGCTGCACTAACATTGGATGAAATCACACATGTTAAAACTCAATCAGGACAAGACTGAATTTATAATTATTGGCCCGACTTGTCTTACTCAAAATTGCATCGACATTGGTGAACTCAAAATCGACGATGCCACCACCATTGCCTCCCAACAAATCAAGAACCTGGGTTGTTGTTCTAGATAAACAGCTCACGATGAAACATCGTGTAACAAAGCCCTGTCAGACAGCCAACTTTCATTTACGGAATATTGGAAAAAATCGCCCCTACCTAACAAAATCATCAGCTGAAAAACTACTGCTCTCTTTAATTATCTCACGCATTGACTACTGCAACAGCCTTCTGACCAACATCTCCAAGGAACAGATCACCCGTATACAACATATCCAAAATACAGCTGCAAGAGTGATCTACAGAACTTCTAAATTTGACCATATCTCTCCTCTGCTACGACAACTTCATTGGCTTCCAGTTGCTGCACGCACTGACAATAAAGTCCTTGTTCTTGCCTATAAATGTTTTACCAACAGTGCTCCTTCGTACTTGACAGAAGTTCTACCAGCTTGCGGCCCACAAGATCACAAGATAAATGTTTATTCTCAACCCCTGGAGTGAAAACTTCAACTTTTGGCAAAAGAACATTCTCCTTCGATGCAGCATCAAAATGGAACAATCTCCCAGAAATCTGCCTCCAGTCTCTCGTCTTTTAAATATCACTTGTTGCTACACTACCTTTAAAATTATTGTTTTCTTTTAGCGCAAAGAGTACATTTATTTTGTGAATTTACGCGCTCTATAAATGAATGTATTATTTTTATTATCATATTATCCTTTCAGAGGGACATGATTTCATGTTATCTACATTCAAAGCATCTATTTCTGTATACACAGATAGTTGTTTGCATATGATCACGCACTTGTCATAAGGGGATATCCACTTTACGCTCTATTCAGAGAGATAGCAAATGCAGCCATTACTTGACAGACCGCTGATTAATCTCTGGTAGAAACTACGTATAAGCTTGGTAAGGCTTTAATGTTGATTTATGTCAGTTTTGGAGAATCTCGGTTAAAGAATCACATCACAACACAGCTTATTATTAACATAGAAACATATCAGCAGTTGTTTTGTATACAATTCAGCAACCCCAGTTCAACATAAAAAAAATGTCAGATTCTTGTGCGTGATCGATCAATTAAATGTGAATTTTGTGGTTATGGCTAAATGACCCCCTAGTGATGGGAATGGTGGAGTGAGTTTGTTCGACGTCGTATCTGCTGGTTTATGTCCGTTCATCACGCGGAGGCGAAACCAGAATCAGCAGGGTTGTTTATAAAACACCATGAGTCCAACTTGCCTATATTTCACAGAT